TCTTGTTTTGAAACCCTGTTATCACCATTGTTTTGTGGTTGTTGTTAATGTTGTTTGGCTTTCATTGTTGCTTTTTTGTTTGTTTTTTGCTTGATTGCATTTTGCTTTTTTGCCCTTCAAAATAAAAAGAAAGAGGGGACAATCAGACAGACATGTACCGCTGCCATAGAGGAGCGCAGGTGTAGCTATGCAGGCCAAGAGAAGAAGTAACCCTGCCTCCACATGCCCATGGCCATCGGGGAAGCCTTGGTGTAGCCATGCAGGTCTGGTGAAGCCTACTCTGTGCCCAACTACCTCCTCAGGAACCAGGTTTTGAGAAACTCAGGTGCCTGGCCCATTCTCCTATACCACAGAGAGGCAGCCAATTCAGGAAGCACCTGGGACCCCACTACTAGCTTGACTGGAGGAACCCAGGAAAATGTGGAGATAAAGGAGCAAAAGACAATTCAGACCTCCAGCCCACACAGAACAAGTCTGGGAGATACAGACATAGAATAAATTGGAAGTCACACACATGAAATTTCTGAAAGGATAGCAACTGACGTTAAAGAATAACTTCACGAGGCTGTAAAGGAATCAATCAGAAATAATATTTCAGGTAAAATAAGAAACTACAAACATAGTGAAAGAATAGCTGAGTATATCTGAAGAAGACAGATTTAAAAAGAGAAGCATAGAAAAATAATGGAAATCTTGAATGTACAATATAGGAAAGAATTACAAAACATGAAACATATTCAAATAGATATCCAGGAAGTTAAAAGCTCCATTGAAAGCTAGCAAAACTGCTTGAAAGAAACTGAAGATAAACTGTCTTGGAAACAGGATTTCAGTTAGTTATCATGAAAGGAAAGATCTCTTAAAAATAACAAGGAACCAGGAAACAACAATTCATTGGCTGCAAGATGATACAAAGAAAAATGATTTAAAACTGATAGGTGTCAGTGAAAAATCAGAAATCAAAACAAATGGCATAAAATGACAATTCAGAGAAGTAATAGCAGAAAACTTTCCAAACATGGGGAAAGGAGCTGGCATACGGATAAGTCAGGTATAAAGATCTCCAAACAGCCATAACCAAAATAAATAAGCATGTAATAAACAAGGTACCAGAAATTCAACACAAGAACAGAATGTTAATGACTGTTAGAGGAAAGAATCAGATCTCCTATAAATGAAAACCTATCTGAATCACAGCAAAGTTCTCAACACAAACCATCAAGTCCAGAAGAGCTTGGAATGTGTGAGTCAACACAATGCACTGGCTGACTGGGGAAAAACCAGACACAGCCCCTTCTGGGGCACAGGCAGGGAGACAAGAAGAGCCAATACTCCCCACCAGCACCCTAAGTGACCAGCTGGCCCCAAGAAGCACACGCTGTGATGATAGCTAATGAGGTAAAATACAACTCAATGCTTGTAGTGTTTAATGTTTCACTCACTTGGCAGGTTTAAAGCCAGTAATCTGATCATGCATTCAGAGAATAACAACGTGCAGTGTAGCACATACAGGAGATCACCTTCTGAAGTTGGTGGCCATTGTTGATTTCCTACTATCTTGTTTAAAAATCCTGTATCATTTTGATTGTTTTGTTTGGTTGAGTTTTACTCTGTTTCATCTTGTTTGACTTTGTTGTATCTGATGGCCTGTGTAGCTATTTTGAAGACAACAAGACATACTGTGGTAGTCATTTTGGATTTACTTTCATCTTGTTTTAGAGTTCTGTGTTACATTCATTGCTTTGTTTTTCCTAGTTCTGTTCTGTTTCTGTTTTGTTTGATTTTACTAGGTCTGAAGGTATAGGCAGCTATTTTGAAGGCAACAAGAAGAAGGATCATCTCTGTTTAGAAGTGCTGTGATACCAGGTAATCCAGGATAGAGTAGTAGGTTGATATAGCAAGATTGGTCATGGTTTGATCATCATTGAGCTGCATGATGGTTACATGGGGATCAATTTTAGTAACTATTCAGAACTGCCCTTAATAAAAAGCTTTGGAAGCACTGTCCCTTGGCTGGATAAAGAATTGCTGATAAGACATTTGGCAATTTCGGGAAGGCTTCCAAGGAAATGAGGACACCCACAGAAGAGGGTCCTCAGGTTGCTTGTGCTGAGGGAATGTGAAAACAAATGAAGTTATTTTGAGCACAGTCTTACATTACCAATGCCAGAGGTGGTCAACATTTGTTTTTCATCAAGTGTCAGTTATTATCACATGGAAACAGGCTACCAGAGTTCATCCCTTTCCTTCTATGAACACATAAAAATAGGCTGAGCGGAACAGGGACTTGAATGTTAGATTAAGCAATCCGGAGACCAGGATGAGAATTCTGACTCTGTCGTTAACCAGTGACATATCTAAAGATAGGCTCAAATTTTCTATGTCAGCAATTTATCATCTATAAAAAAGGAAGTCATAGTTCATCCACTAGATACAATTCTTCCTGGTCCAACCTACTGTTCTGTGTAGACTTCTACCTACGTGATGATAATAATTGTAGGGTCATGTGTGGAAAATTAATGATTTCAGGGCACTGTAATATGACTTTCAGGACCAGAAAGACCTTTAGTGTTGGCATATTTGTTGCAGAACATCCTGATAACTTCTTCTGTGCGTAGAGATTCCTCCAACCCACTTAGAGGGACTGTTTCCCACTCCACATGTAAAGCAGACAGAAGTAATTGATTCTCACGCTTTGCATTACAGCACAGTACCTAAGATCTTGTTGTCTGTGGAAAATTTATTTGCAATTTGGCAAGGTCCTTATTAAAAGTTACTCTTTCTTCTCTAGTAGATAGAAGAGTATTGAGAAGTATGCCTCTTGGTGTTTCTGAGAGAGGTTAAAAAAGCTCAGAATAGACCTCACTGTGGGTACATCATGCTCCATGTATAAAGTGCTCCCCCAGCTTTTGCACCATAGCAGAGACTTGGTGACAACCACCTTGACCACCATGGAGGATCCCATATGAACTCTGAGGCCCAGAAATGCCCATGACATGGAGAATCCACAGCCACCTTGGTACAAATGGAAAGACTCATCTGGAAAAACTGGCATTTAAGAGGAAAACAAGACTGACCAAGATTTGCCTCTTCTCTCACTCCGTGTAGACTACAATTTCTGCCTGATGTGATAAAGGGTTGGTCCGGGCAGAAAAGGGAGTCAACCCAAGTAGGCCAATCACAAACACCTGAAAAATGGGGACCCCACTGCTGCCCACTTGCTATGGTTTAAATGTGCTCCCTCTCAGAGGCACATGTGTTGAAAACATGGTCCCCAAAATCATGTGTACCTTGTTATTGAACTTCTCAGTCTAGGACCACGAGCTAAACAAACTTCTCTTCCTCATAAATTCCCAGAATATGGTGTTCAGCTGTACTGCAGCAGGACAGAGGACAGTATCCTTCCTCTCCTCTTCCCTGAGTCTTCTCTGTGCTCCATTTTCTCTCTGCCTTGTAGTAGGAGGAGGAAGAACAGAGCTATCTAAGGCAGATCTATCTAAGGAGCCTTTGCCAGCTGCCTCCTCATGTTCACCACTGCTGAGGCCCTGGCTCTGCATTCCCTGCACTTGAGTGCTTGGAGAAGCTCCCAGGAGCTGGCACTGGGGCAGCCTAGTTCACCACCCACTCATAGCCCACCTTACTTCCCTTTAGGCAGCTATTGGTTAGAAGTGGGTATTAACTTTTATGTTTTTACAGCTGATGTATATCTCCCTTTACGCTTAAAGCAACAGCACCTGGATATGTATTTTTTTCTTTTTTAAATTGAAGTAGAGCACACAGAAAATACCACATTCATAAAACTGCAGCTTAGTGAATTATAACTATAGGCAAACGCACCTGCAGAAATCCTGCTCAGGCCAAGAACAGGTTCAAAATCCCAAAAGGCAGGTTCTCTGCTTCCTGAAAGAAACCACTTTACTGACATCCATGAGTGATTTTTGTCTCCTTTAAGTTTCTTCTCCTCCTTCTTCTTCTTCTTTTCTTTTTCTTCTTCTTCTTCCTCCTCCTCCTCTTCTTCTTTTGTGAGTGTGAGTGTGTGTGTGTGCAGTACTAAGGATTGAATTCAGGGCCCCTACACTGACCTACATGCCCAAACCTTTTTTTAACATTTTATTTTGAGACAGTCTCCTTCAATTGTCCAGATTGCACTCTACCTCATTATCTTCCTGCCTCATCCTTCCAGGGTTCTTTATAGGTTTTACTCTTAAGACATTTTTTTTAATGCTAGTCATTGAAAGTATGGCCTGGCACTTGCTAAGCAAACACTCTACCACTGAACAACATCCTCAGCTCTTAATCTTAAAACATAAATATTTAAATATAATTTACATACAGTGACATTTACCCTTTGACAGTACAGTTCTGTTTTGTTGTGGCACTCAGGATCATACCCAGGGCTTTCACACTGAGCAACATTCCTGGTATTTATCACTTTTGTTTTGAGGCAAGGTCTTTCTATACAGCCCAGACTGGCTTCCATCTCACTGCGATCCTCCTCTCAGCTTCCGGAGTGCTGGGATTACAGGCGTGAACCACTACATGTGGCAATTTATTTTCAGGCAAGATCTCGCTGAATCACCAAATTCCCCAGTCTGGGCTCAAACCCGTGATCCCCTTGCTTCAGCCTCCCAGAGTGCTGAGATTACAAACCTGGTGCCACCATACCCAGCTCAGTCCTAAATAACTCATGAAGTTGTGCAGCCAAGATCTCAATTGAGACACCTTGCAGTTCCATCACTCCCAGATCTCTTGGTAGTCGACCTTTTCCCCCAGTCCCAGCTCCTGGAAGAAATTCACGATTTGTTTTCTTATAATTTTACCTATTCTGGGATTTCGTGTAAATTGATTGAACCTTGTTCCTCAGCTGGGGCGCCTCGGGGGACCCCTGGGGAAGAGGCCCAGGGCGCCAGGAGCCAGCCACAGCCCCTGAGCGCTCCCGCCCCCAGCGTCCCGCAGCTGGAGCCGCCCCGCGGCCACGTCACTTTCCCGCGGCCCCGCCCACCGGCCCGCCCACGGCCCCGCCCCGCCGGAAGGAGACCCGGCCTCCTCCCATTGGCAGCTGCACTTCGGGATGGCAGCGGCGGGGACCCCGGCGCCGGGCGGCATGGACGCGCGGCTGGAGCAGGAGACGGCCCGGTGGCTGCGCTGGGACAAGGTGAGGAACGCCCGGGGCTGTGAGCCCGCGGAGCGGCGGTGCGCGCGGCCGGGGCAGGGCTGTCCCGGGGCGGAGCCGGCCCCCCGGCCCCCCGGGACTGCAGAGCGGAGCGGGCGGTGGTCGGAGGGCGGCTGCTCCCCGCCGCGTGCCGGGAGCCGCGCGCCCTCGCCGCCCCGAGCCCGCTCGTGCTCTGTAGTCGCCGCGCCGCCCCGGGTCCCCGCGGTCCCGCCCACTTCCGTGCCTGGGTTTATTGCGGAACAGCTTTCCCTTGCATCTGTCAGGGTACCAGTCTCCCCCGAGGGGTGCTACAAACACCTGGGCTCTCGGGTGGGCCTCAGGAGACTCTGCTAAGCAGGTGACGGGGCTTTTGGAGGCACCATCATTGTTTCTCTGCTTACCCCTCGCTGAGATGCCGGGGAAAGAGGCGTCGCACCCAGCTCCGCCAGGGGCTCCCGGCCTCCGGTGCGGGCTCCTGCTTTTCTTTTGCGCGCGCTGTTTTCCCAGAATGTTCCTGCTTGCTCCCTTCTGCTGAGTTTGTTTCCAATACCGTTAGCCCTGTTTTGGGTGAGAATATGACTCACGTAGGCAGGCCTTCCAGGGCTCCTGCCTGCAGTTTATCTTCCCAAATACTGTATGGACAAACTGTCCTTTTCCTTCATAGCTCCTACTGCGACTGGAAAAACAAACAAGAACAACAGAACCCACGAACACGTGTCTGTGTCCAGGTCTGACTTTGTCCCATGCAGCCGGACAAGACCTGTACCCTTACTGGGGCCTGATCTTGATGCTCTGCTGGCCTCTGTTCAGATTCTTAATTGCTAGATAAATATTCCCTCATTTTCATTTTGCAGAGGGCTCCTAAGTACTATTTAGCAAACGCTGCCCGCCCTCACTAACTCTGTGGTCCATTGTGCCTGGTACAGTGCCCAGCACATAGTAGGTATCCGAAACCTTTATTGAATGAATGGAGACTGCAAGCTGTGAGCAGGGGTCCCCCTGGTCCCTTACTTGAATATCAGCCTCTCCCATTTCCAGAAAGCTATTGGCAACTCCTCAGGAACTGATCTTTTCCTAGAAGAATAACTTTGTGATTCTTAAAGGAAGGAAAATGTTTGCTTGCTGATAACTTGGTAACTTGGAGCATGAAGAGTACTTTTAAAGCCAGAGTTAGTAAGATTTTCCCTTTGAGGAAAAAAAAAAATAACTACCGCCAAGATACTACCGTATCTTTGTAGGGATGGTAGCTCTCTGGGTCAGAGAGAAGGGATGTGGTCAGCGTGGGTGCTTTCTTTTCCATTTTTTCTTTGGCTTGAGACAAGTGCTTCTCTGGGAAGGAACCTGTACATCCTCCTATGCTATTCGCAGCAGCGTTGCAGCTGTTAGCTGATTCTCCCCAAGGTTTCCAGCTGCTCCAGCTCTGTTTACCCGTACAACACTTTCTTTGGTCTGGTGCTTCAGTCTGTTTCGGTCACTCCCAGGGCTGCTGCCTTCCCAACTTTTCATTATCTCTGTCTGCTTTGTTTCTCTCAGGCTACTGGGTCTTTCCTACATACCCAAAGCAAATTAGGATTTTCCAACTCTACCTTATGAATCAGAGAATCTGGATACTGGGTGTGACCATGAAATCAACAGATATTTGTTGAACCTCTTTTATGTACCAGATCTGAGCCCTTCCTTGGGGGCACCTGACAATTTGATGGGTAAGACTGTGTCCTGTGATTAGTGTCTATTGCTTTTGGTCAAAAAGGTGTGGTTGTACTTGATTCCTGTTGAATCTGGAACCCTCTGGAAAGATGGGCTTAATTCCAGGAAGTCAAGGTTATTGCAATAGTATTTCAAAGTTTAATTACATGGCCACGTCCTGTCTGAGTGTTCATCTAAATGACTGATGACTATAAGACAGAGGTAAAGTACTACTTCTGTTGGTCCCCTGAATCCCTGAATTGAAAAATCCGATATGGAATTAATGTGGTCATCTACATTACAAAGGGCAATGTGCAATGAATTTAAATGATTCATGCTAGTGTTTGAAGCCATTAATGTAGTAGCAAAGAATCAAGTTAGTGTTTGTCTTGCAGTTGAAGGAAGTCCTTCTGTAGCATAAAACATTACAGACGTTTCCTATCTGTTGTTTGCCTGCCTCGTAGAGTTATTAAAGGATTCAAACCCAACCAGGTGTGCGAATGCCTTGTACAAATTACAAAGCAGGACAAAAACAAGGTTTTGATTTAAATCATGTAATCTGTGGCTCTGGGAAAATGTGACAGCATTAGGGAAGACAGTGAATATGTAATCACAACTAATTGCCAGGCAGGCAGGCACAGACAGGGAGAAGGGGAGAGCGAGACAGATCACATTAATTTCACTTAGAGCCTTAAAAACCATATAAGGGATGTTCTAGATTATTCCCATTTCACAGAGGAAATTGAGAATTCAGGGTGCTTAGATAGCCTGCCCATGCAGATACAGGTTCTGAGCGACGTGCCTAGGATTTCCAGCTAGGTATTGGACCTAGGTATTGGACCTACTCATTCCATTTCTCCAAAAGTACTTCTCTTGGGAGGGAAGAAAATTATAGTCACACTATAATGTCAAGCAGATCCCCCATTTCAGACTTCAAAAGCATCAGAAAACCGATATGTATTTTTTTTTTCCTAGAAGATGAGAATTATTGTGGGATTTTTTTTTTTTTCTGCAAGATTTTTGTTCTCTCACTCACCTGGCTGTATCTGCTATACACCTTTCTGTTTTACAGAATCCTTTAACTTTGGAGTCAGTGAAACAATTAATTGCGGCAGGTACGAAAGAAGAATTACAAGAATGTTTTGGGGCCCGAATGGAGTTTGGGACTGCTGGCCTTCGAGCGCCTATGGGCGCAGGGATTTCTCGTATGAATGACCTGACCATCATCCAGACTACACAGGTACCACGTTTTTATAGTTCTCAGTTACTCACAGTCCAGCCCTTGGCTCCTATTTTATAGACAGATCTAATTTGTTGTAATTATGGCCATGTCTTTGGAGTTGGATGACCACAAGGGAGTCATCACCATTTACTTACTACTCCAGAAAATGAAGAATGTGAAGTTGTTGAAGCAGTTTGGTTTCAAAATTCATAGTCAGCTAACCTTCCAGCCACTCATCATTTAAAATATTTATTGAGCACCTACTCTATGCTGGGCATTGCAGACATGTTATTAATGACTAGAACAGTTCCCTCATAGATATTTTGTCCTAGAAGAAGCTCATCTTATCATCTTTGTCTTGGTCAGATGCTAGTTGAAAAGACATCGCATCACCAAGAACCTGTCCCATTCAATTTTTAAACTGTGGCTATGGACTGAAATTATTACTTGCCTTAGTTTGTGGGTTTTATTGTCAGAGTTGAGACCAAACTTTTAGCAATAGAAATGAAGACAAAACAGATAGGCTACCACTGAGTACTGGGAAAAGTATTTATGAAGGAAATGAACTACAACAACTTAATTTCACAATTGCTGCAACTACTCAGGCTTATTAAAAATGAGCATCCCCTCAATTCTGGAAATGTGCCTAATGATGGCTGCATGATATCCCTGAGTGACAGGTGGAGTTGAGTGTCCTACTGAGACCCCAGTGAGGAAAACTGATATAAGGGTGCATAGTTACTCGGAGCCCTGGCAGTAAATTTAAGCTGCAGGGCTCCCTGGGAGGGAAGGCTGAGAATGGAAGTCTTGGAATCCTGTCCTGGTGTACGGATAGTTCAGGGACGTGCCTCCCAAGGTGACTTTCTGTTTCAGTTACTAGAGCTGTGCAGTAAATCACCCAAAACATGGTGGTTTTACAACTTCCATGTTTGTCTTGTTCGAACACCTGCAATTTGTGTAGAGCTCTGTGGAAACAGCTTATCTCATTCTGCCTGGTATCACCTGGGCAGTTTGGAGATTGGGATCATTTGAAGTCTTGAGCAATCACATGGCTGCAGGTATTGCTGGCTGTTGCCTGGGATCTTACTGGGGCTGAAAAACCTGCAGTGTGACCTGGGGCTTGCACACAGCGTGGTGAATAAGAGAGAGACAGATAGACGAATACAGAGCTGGAGAGAAAGCGTGTGCCAGGTGGAAGCTGCATTGACTTTCATGGCCGAGGATTGAAAGCCACATAAAGTCTCTTGTTTTCACCATATTCTGTTACAAGTCAGTCCCTGAGGCTGCTCATATTCAAAGAGGCAGGAATATAAACACCTGCTTCTCATTAAAAAAACATCAGTGTCATATTAAAAAAACATCAGTGTCATATTATAAGATGCATGACCATCTTTGGGCAATCCAGTTGGTCACAGCTGTTATTCCGCCTAATTATTAGAAGTTTTAAGAAATTTCAGATTAATGTAGGGCCTTTGTCCAGTATTTCTGTCTGCTTTCCAAAAATGAAGAAGTATATCTCTAGGAAGATCTTGCCAATTATTTTGCACACTCACACACACTCTGGAAGAACTGGTCTCTTCTGGTAGTGGGCCCTGTAGCAGTTAAGAATCCTGTAAAACCAAGACAAATAGATGGTTTAGAGGTCCTCTCATCCAGCCAGCCATCGCTGGGGATAATCTCTGCAGTATCCCCTGTCCAGGTGGTCACAAAGCCTCTACTAGGATACTCATTACTATCTCAGAAGTAATTTGACATTGGAGGGTTCCTGAGCTCAGGCCTCCGCCACCTTTGAGGAGCGCTCCCTGGCAGTGCTGACGTGTGACTATGCAGTCACTTATCTCTGTTCTGCTTTAACCGGTGGCGCCCATCCTGGGTATTTGGGTGTGGAGTCTCAACCTACTTTTGTCCTAAACACTGTTTGTCTGTTTTGGTTTAAGAAGCAGGTGTGTGTGAGTCAAGAACATCTTGACAAAACAGGGCGGAGACTGCGGGGAAACTTGGGGATCATTTGCCTCATTGCCAGAGGTTATAATTTGCTTCTGACAATTCAGGCCTATCTCATGCTCCATTTGTGACCCTTGTGTTTATATTACTTAATTTAGACTCCACTTGAAACTCACAGTCCTCCACAACAGCCCATTCTATCTTTACATCATTCTCGTTAAAAGATGTTTCATTACTTTGATCCAAAATCTGTGATTATGGAGCTTTTACATATGGATCTTTGTTGAAGCCATATAAACAGGTTTGCTTCTTGTGTTTTGTAATAATGTTTAGATTTCTAAAAACCTTCCCCACCAACGAATCATAGAGAGTAGGCATTTCCTTCCCTCTGTCAGCAGGCCCTGGAGCTTTTCAGAGAGTGCGGAGCTGGGTGGATTTGGCAAGGGTGCAGGCTTCTTGCCCCCTGCAACATTGGGGGCTCAGTGCAGGGGGTAGCCAGAGAGAGTGAGGGTTAGGGGTACTGGGGTAAGCCATAGAGAACCAGGCATGTGGGTGCCTTTCTGGGAACCCGCAAAATGCTTACAGGTGGGTCTTTATTTCCTTGAGGCTTTACTTTCATTCAGGAGTTCTGTCCAGTGCAGTGTGTCTCTCAGAGAAAAAATAATGGCCTTCTGAGTGAACACAGCTTGGACAACAAGGTTGTAAAGTGTCCCCCTACCAAAAATAACAGTTACACTGTTTATAAGAATCCCTTTAGCCAAAGGGAAATTAAACTCCTCCCTGAGCCACCTCTCGCCAGAAGCGGGTACAAAGCTCTGCTGCTCATGTGCCTGAAACTGGGCAAGCCACCATACCTCTCCGAGCCTCAGCTTTTCCATCCGTAATTTCCATCCATAATTGTGATTTCTTCACAAAGTTGATGTGAGGTGGGAGATAATGCCTGATACAGACAGTAGATAAAGATACTATTTTTTGTTGTTCAGTTTGTTTAATCACTGAGAAATTTTTTCCCTGTGCTATAATGTTGTCCTGTAAAAGCTGAGAAAACAGCATTTTTGCCCCATTTTTCTATGTCACATTTATAAGAGATGTGTTAAAACATAATCTGTTGGGGCTGGGGATTTAGCTCAGCGGCATAAGCGCTTGCCTTGCGAGCAGGCAGTCGTGAGTTCAATCCCTGGTACCAATAAAAATGAAAAAGACAAAAAAAAAATCTGTTTTAACCCCTGGGGTGTTGCAGGGATTTTGCAGGTACCTGGAGGAGCAGTTCAGTGACCTCCGACAGAGGGGTGTCGTGATTAGCTTCGATGCCCGAGCTCACCCCCCCAGTGGAGGCAGCAGCCGAAGGTAAGGGATGGGGACACTTTTAGGGAACAGTTGTTTAGCAGTTTGTTTTGCAAGTTTGTTTTTAGTCACCTTTTCAACGGCTTAACTTTAAATACATTACTTGCTACATTATTTAACTATACACACACAGAAAAAACTGTAAATTCTATTTGGTTCTGCCAAAAATATACTGTTTCTATGTTGATGTGAGAAAATAAGGTAATTTAGGCATTTAAAAGGTAATACTTACCTAAAGGGGAAAGATTTTTTTTTTAAACTGGCAGTATGTCTTGCTACCTTTCGGGTCATTTTTTTCTTCCACTGTTGATAAAATTCATGGTGGCTTCCGATTCTTGAACGCCCATCTGAGGCTGTAGTTTTGTTACATTCCAAGCCCCTTGGCTCCCCGGCATAGCCCTGAGCGGGGACGGGATGGCAGTGATGGTGGGGACAGCAGCAGCGTTGGGGTTGCAATGCAGGCGTTTCTGTGTTCACTGACTTAATCCTCACAACCACCAATGCGGTTTCCAGTCCTCACTTAGTACCCATGGCAGAATGGCTCCAAGACCCTTTCAAATACAAAATCTGTGGGTGTTCAAGTCCCTCGTGTAAAAAGGCATAGTATTTGCGTATACTCCTGTACACATCCTGCTGTGCACTTTAAACGAGTTCTGGGTTACTTACGGTACCTAAAAGATTCAAACAGTATATAAAAATTGTTCCAGGGTATCATTTAGAGAACTATAGTGAGAAAAAAGTTTGGAAACTGAAAGAATGGATATGGCTTTCCGAGGTCTAAACTACATACCAGACCGTCCCCCGTCCCCAAAAAAAGGCCTAATCAGAAAATAAACTCCAGCTCATTGATACCATGGTGATGGCCTAATTGTGCAGATTCTACCTCACTATTCTCTTTTTTGGTGATCACTCAGTAAGGCAGGTAAGCCAAGGGTCAGCCGATTAGAGTTGGCAGTTTGGATCTCTAGTTTTCTATGCTGATTTCCTGTTAGGTCTTATTTTTGGAGAAATATGTTAGAATAAACTAGCAACTCATCCATAGTTAGCTGGCTCTGCTGGTGCAGCACCTGCACGTACAGAGGACTGACTAACTGGACATCATAAGATGAGAGTAGCCACAGTTTATATATAGGAAGTCACCAGAAGTCAGCAGACTTTTCCTCTAAAAGGCAAACAGTTAACATCTTACATACTGTGAACCATATAGCAGCTTTTGACTTCTCTTATACCAGAGACACATTTTGTGAAAGAATTTGGAGTCCGGAAGTCACTTCATGTTGAGTCAAGGCATGCACAACATAGATCCCTCGCATTTGCAGTTCCCAGTAGGATTCGAGCTCCTATGAAACTCTAATGCCCTCCGCGATCTGACAGGAAACAGAGTTGTGGCAGTAACTCTCGTGATGGGGAGTGGCTGTCCATGAAAATTGGTTTCCCTGACTGGCCTCATTGCTCACTTCCTGTGGTGCCACCTGTTCCTGACCTAGCAGTGACCAGTACTGTTGGTCTGTGTTCCCGTCATTGGAGACCCCTGCTATACAGTCTGCATCCCGACTGCTCAGCTCTGCTGCATGCCCTGGAACCTCTGCATAGGCAGTTTGTACCTGGAGGGGCGTGGCAGGGTGTCAGAAAACTGTATACACGCTGCGGGCGCTGGTTTACCAACCGCTGCGCTTCACCGTGTTATATGACCCTCTTTTTCACTTGCATACTCTACTACTGTGACCATTAAAATGTTTTTTTTTAATCATTGCGGACTGTCACTAGTAATAAATTCTTAGATGTGAATGAAAAGCCTTACTATCTTTTCAGTGCTGTATGAATTTATAGAGTCCTGGTCTTGACCCATGTGAGCTTCAAATCTGAGAGAAGCACTGGTAGGGACAAACGTATGGCCACAAAAAAGGAAGCGTGGCCAGGGGAGAAAAGACCAGATGGCGGTCACCCCCAAGTTGAACCCAGGAGGACGCAGGGTTTTGGTCTTTAGCTAGCTTTTTGCTAGCAAGGCTAGAGAAAAGCTGTCACTCCAGAGTAGAGCATACACAAGCTACACAAGAGAGTGGCATAGAATAAGCCATGTTATCAGCTTGTCAGTTTATTATTGGTAATGGCACAGTTAGAACTACATCATGAGCATGTCCTGCCCCAGGGCAGATCATATCCTCAGGCCAGGACAGGCACGGTGTATCCATGTGGCAGAACTTCAGATATCTTGTCAGCGAGGTTAAAGGTACTTCTTGCTTTGGCCATGGAGCCATACTGTTGGCTTGAAGTGCCTGGCATTACTTACAGGTCAAAGACTCAGAGTCTGATAGGATGGGGTGGGGTGAGCTGAGGGCTACTCTATCACATACAAATGTCTCTGCAAGACATTTAGAGGTCATAATATAAATATGAAACCAATACAGAGCAAAACACATGTGACAGATGAATGAACACTTCCTAAAAAGTTTGAAACTATTGCAACATCAAAATTTTACTTAAGGAAATATTTAGTTTTCCAGTCTCCTGACTTCAAGTATTTAGTGGGAAACATAAGCTATAACTATTAAGCATTTGCAGAAAGCACACGGAATAGTTTTGGTGTACTTCGGTAACTACACATGTAGTTAAGGTAAACATATAGAGTGTCTCCTTTGCCAGCTTTCAGATAGGGCCTTGGAGATCACCTAAAGACAACATTTTATGAGGGTAAAGTGATGTGTCTTGTCGGAATTCAATCTGGATTTTATTCAGATTTTTATTAAAGTTATTTTGCTGAATTTTGGTGCCTTTATTTCTTGTCACTATATACAGGCAGATGTTTAACTCTTAAAATCATTTTGATATTTCTAACAACGGTAGAAACTTTAACACCTGTGTTGTTGAAGCAAGGGCAGACATCTTTGTGTTTTGGCCAGCTCATGGAATAGAGTTCACCAAAGCTAGCGCTCAGGAAATATTTGAGGAAGCCAGATGTGTTGGAACACACCTGTAATCCCTGCATTCAGAGCACGGAGGCAACCAAATCATAAGCCAGCCTGGACTATACAGCAAGACCAGTTTCACCAAAAAAAAAAAAAAGATACTTGCTGTGGAAGTTGAGAAAAATGTCTTTTTGAGGGTGCTGTAACCGACCTGTGTATGTGTCCATATGATTGTGTACCTCTGTGTGTGTGTGTGTGTGTGTGTGTGTGTGTGTATGAGTGTGTATACCAATATATCTTAGGTTTCAAATAAAACAACACCTGATCAGATTTTGGTGTATATGATGTGTACTGGATTGTGATGGGTTTAGGCCAGGGTTGTTCAGCGTCTGCATAATGGCATATGACTTCACTCTGGTTGGTTAGTTCTTGGTTGCGGGGGGCTGAACTGCACATCATAGGATGGTTAGCACCATGCCTGGCATCTACCCACTAGCTGCCAATAGGATACTCCCTCTTCATTTCAGATGTCCCATTGGCGGGCAGAATTGCCCAAGCTGTGAACCACTGAAGTCGGTGAGATGGACAGAGAATTTAGGACTTGGGTCAGGCCTGGTCCAGTGCTAAGTGACCCTTGGCAGTGGGGCAAGCTACCTTGCCTTTCTGGCTTTGTTCCCATTTCTGGAAAACAAGAGTAGAAGAAGGTGACCCCTGAGAGTCCTCCAGCTTTAATATTTAAAGCTGATGTAAATATTTGTAACATTTTCCTAACTCTAGTTTGCTGTATTCCAGCCAAAGAATATTCCACACCCATGTGCTACTCTCCATCCCTCATGGTTATGACAGCTGGACACCTTTTCTTTTCTGTCCCCGCATTTCTAGGTTTGCTCGACTCGCTGCAACCACGTTTATCAGCCAGGGGATTCCTGTGCATCTCTTTTCTGATATAACCCCAACTCCTTTTGTGGTAAGTGAGCATTTTCCTTCTCGATCTCCTGTCCTGTGGTCGGGGATGGGACTTGCTGAATTTTACAGGCTTCCACGGTGTTGACATTCAGGTATTTCAGTGACAGAGCTGCTTGGTGTGTCCAGGCTGCCTCATTTCTCTCCAGTTTTACTCACATCCTGGTAATATTCTCCTAGTGCTCAACTTTTGATGCATCAGAACTGATTTTTTGAAAAGTATCATTTTCCTTTTTGCTTACATTCTAATGCTATTTTAGAAAGTTAATAAAATGTTTTGTCAGTTCTTGATGTATTTGTTTTTTAATTTGATGAGTAGAGCTTTTTTTCCCAGCTATTGTAACTAGGAAACTCCTTAGGTGTAAATCTAAATTCACTTGAAGTGCTATATTGAATATTTTTGACAAGTTGGAGTGCCAGTTTTATATAAAAATGTATCATTCAGAATACTCCTGGGTAGCCTTTTATCAAACCTTTAATGAAACAATCTAAAGAAAAGGGAGGGACTGTGGCAGCTGCTCTTTCTGAGTGGACAGAGCTTGTTGAAAGCTGGGCCAGATGCTGAGAATATTTTTCAAAAACGTGACCTGAATGCAGTTACTTACATTGGGCAGAAGCAAGAATGTGTGGAGACAGCAGTGAGTGCCCTGGTCCTGTGTGTGCCGTCTCCAGGCTCTGACACGGTTGTCAGTGACCCGGGACACACTGTGTGTCCCACCCGTATGTAGTTGGGATTTCATTGCTTGGTGGAAAACTCGCATCACCTTCCAGCTTCCTAATTGTCTTCTGCACTGAGTATCCATAGCTGTTACTTTTATATCAGTCTTGAATTCAGGGAGAATCTCCTGATTACTTGCCCATGCCGTCCAGTGGTTCTGCTCTTTTCTTTGCACCAAGACACCCGAGGGGTGAGACATAGGTTCCAAGGAGAGAGGGGATGAAGTGATTCTTGTGGGAGGCTGGAGAGGGACAGATGGGTCAAACCTCAGGTTATCTGTGACTCATCATGTTTTTTGAGACAGGGTCTTGTGGTTTAGTTCACGCTGGCCTTGAACTCACCGTGTAGTCCACGATGGTCTTAACTCATGGTGATCCCCCTGCCTCGGCTTCCCAAGTGCTGGGATTATCCTCTCTTCTATTCTGAGAAGTTTTGTAAAGATGGAAGCTATGTGCAAATTTCAGGGAACTGTCCTTAACCCTGGAATTAGGAGATAATTCCAATAAGTTATGTGTAAAAGCACTCTTCATTTCCTTAACCTTTTGCTTAAAAGTAAACAAAAAGGAAAAAGAGAAAGAAACCCTCTGAAGGCAATCAATTGTGTCTGTTTGGGCCCGTAGCTTTAAAAGAATGGGAAGTGGAGACTTTGAGCATATTTTTGTTTGGAACATTTTCTAGCTTTAGCAAGAAGACAAAATGAGAAGAATGCTCCTAAGAAATGAAAATAGGTATCCTATTGTTTAGGGGAGCCAGTTAGTTCCAGGAAAATAAGTCTCCGGGGATGGGCCAGTGCATTCCAGTACTCCAGTGGATGCCTGAGGCCACGGATAGCACCAAACCCTAGCGATTCTGGTGTTTGCTAAACATACATACCTATGCTAAAGTTTAACTTATATATGAGGCACCATAAAGAATCAACAAGAGTAACTACTAATAAAATGGAATGGTTAAACAAAATAAACTGTAATGGAAGTTAAGAGAGTATTATCTCTCTTCAAAGAGCCAGGACAAATAACAGGATTTTTGAGTAACTGAAACCACCAACAGTAAAACCACAGATGGGGTGGCTATTGGGTGCTCTGTGTGACACAAATAAGTGAGTTAAGTTTGCTATTGGTGTAACACATTAAAATATTGAATGATCAATATGCTACCACATCTGACTATGATACTTACTGTGTTTATTACAAGGGGAACAAGTTGGCACCAGTGTCTACCAATACACAGTGGACACTCTAAGTGTATCTAATTTTTTAAAAAGTGTCCCTCCCTCCTCCCTTCAGCCCTACACTGTGTCGCATTTGAAACTCTGTGCTGGAATCATGATCACCGCCTCTCATAACCCAAAGCAGGACAATGGCTATAAGGTATTTTTCCTTCTTGCTTTACACATTCTTTTATGGAAGAATAGATAATGGCTGGTTGCTTTCCATTGAACTTTTAAAATTTATTTGTGCTGTGCTGGAATTGAACCCACAGCTGTCACACTGACTGATGTCCCCAGTACTTTAAAAAAATAAAATTTTATATGTTTTGGGGCAGGGTCTTGGCAGGTAGGGCTCCAATTTGTGATCCTCCTGCCTCTGCCTCTCAGAGTGCTGGGATGATAGGTGTGCACCACCTAATCCAGCTAACCCTGAATTTTTTTAATGTGTCTCTGGCTTCTCTAGGTCTACTGGGACAATGGGGCCCAGATCATCTCGCCACACGATAAAGGGATTTCTCAAGCTATTGAAGAAAATCTGGAGCCCTGGCCTCAAGCTTGGGATGATTCTTTAATTGATGGCAGTCCACTCCTTCACAACCCTACTGCTTCCATCAATAATGACTACTTTGAAGATCTTAAAAAATACTGTTTTCACAGGTAACCGGATTATGTCTTTGGTGACTTTAAATGAGTTAAGTTTATGACTAGGCCAATTTCTATCAATATAGAGGATTCATGTAGGGACAGTGGGTTGAGTTTGTTCTATTTCTCTGTCTCTGCTCTTTCTCTGTCTGTCTGTCTGTGTCTCTCTCTCTCTCTCTCTCTCTCTCTCTCTCTCTCTCTCATCTTCCTATGAGCTCAGGCTGACTTTTTTTTTTTTTTTTTTTTTTTTGGTCTTTTTTCATTTTTATCGGTACCGGGGATCGAACTCACGACCGCCTGCTTGCAAGGCAGGTGCTTATGCCACTGAGCTAAACCCCCAGCCCCAGGCTGACTTTAAACTTGCAGCCCTCCTGCCTCAATGGCTTGGCCAGTTTTCCTCCAGGGTCAGATAGAAATGTTTCCGGTTTTGCAGGTTACACAGACTCTCATCTTGTCAGTTTAGAAGCTGTAGAATCAAGCAGTCTTGTTGGCCATCAGTGCAGCAGTACTGGGCGGCTGTGTTCGCTAAACACTGTGTACAACAGCACATGGGCCACAGTCGGCTGAGCTGCTGTATATATTTTCATAGATGTGCGTATATGTGTCTCATACCTGTATGTGTGTACATATGTTTATATATGGCGGGTGACGGGTGACAGTGCTGTCCTTCCCAGCTGAACACTAGGTCACACTACTCCCATCTGTCCCCCATCAAGACAGCGTGGAGGGGAAGTTTGTCTGCAGTACTGTATGAGGCCACTTGGTGGCAGCTCCTGGACAGAGTATGACCCCAGTCGCATATGAAGCTGGTGTCATCCCAGCGCAGTGTTCTCTCAGCTGCAACCCGAGTTCCATGCTGCTAGATCCTCGAATTTTTTCCTTCCCAAGAGAACTCTCCTCACACCTCATTGTGGGTGACTATTTTCTCTACTGGCGCATAATCCAAACAAAACACATTTGTTAGGTTTCCCTCTGCTCCCGACTCCATAAAGAGTTGACAGGTTTTTCTTACTCCAAGCAGTACTGGAGCCAAACCCCCATACAGAGTTGTTGGATCTGCATGTGCAGCCCCTTGAAATAACTTTCTGGCATCAGAATAATTGTATGAACATTTTCAAAGTTGACAGAGGCTCACAAATTGCTCTCCAAAAATGTCACTGCAGTTGGCGCTTCCACCTGCACCCCCAAACATTACAACCACACCTTCCTCCTCAGGGGGGTGTTACCCCACTCCCATTTTTCCTGATGTGCTCGCTGAAAGTAATGTCTAACTTTCATTTGCCTTTTTAAGATATGAATAAACTTTTGTTATATTTAACATATTTTCTTATGCATTTGTTCATCCTTTATGTTTTGTAAAACTTCCTTGGTTAGATAGAACCCAGTCTTATTTATTTCAAGTGTTGTTTTCCTTCCTATTGTTACTTTTGTAGTTTTTCATTAAAATTTTTTGTTGCACTTTTAGAATTTTTAAAAAATATTTATTGATCTTTTGATTTATAGCTTCATGTCATGCCTTAAAAGACTTCCTCTGCAACATTATAAGAAAAAAAATTCTTGGGGCTGGAGATTTAGCTCAGCGGCATAAGCGCCTGCCTTGTAAGCAGGCAGTCGTGAGTTCAATCCCTGGTACCGATAAAAACGAAAAAGACAAAAAAAAAAAAAAATTCTTGTTTCTCCTGAACTTTCATGTTTACACTTTGTAAACTTGAATCCTTTGAGTCACTGTAAATTTTCTAATATTTCATGATGTGAGATAAGGCAGTCGTTTATGGTTTTTCTGAAAAGTTTGCAGTTATACCAATATCATAAATTGTGAGATTTTTTTTTCTGACTAAAAATGTCACCTTTAGAAAATAATTTCTAGGGAACCAGGCGCGGTGGCGCATGCCTGTCATCCCAGCACTCAGGAGGCTGAGGCAGGAGGATTCTTGCAAGTTTGAGACCAGCCTGGGCTACAAAGTGAGCTCAAGGCCAGCCTGAACTGCACAGAGAGACCCTGTCTCAAAAAGACAAAAAAAAAAATTCACTAACTAAATGTTTCTTATCAGATATTTGCTTCAGGCTCTTCACCTGTGATCTCATCGTAACCCTGCCAGCAGTGCCTAAAGCAGCAGGTTCTGTGTTTTGTCATTCTGTAGAAGACAAAGCTGGCACAGTGGTTGAGCAACAGCGAATAGTCAGGTAGCCTGTAAATGACAGAGCTCAGAGTTCACACTTAGAGCCGGTCCCGGGGCGTATAGCCACTAAGCTTTGCTGCTTCTCGTAGACATTTCCCATTCCAAATTCGATTTTCTTGGTCTCTATTCTGTCCTCTAATCTGCCTTTTTATATGTAGTGCCATAGCTTTGTAATGGATTTTAATGTCCAGGAGATTTTTTTCAGATTTATCTTCCTTGATCTTGCATATATATTTTTCCAGATAAATCTATTTATGCATATGTGCGTGCAGTACGGGGGACTGAACCCAGAGTACTGAGCTGCATTTCAAACCTTTTTCTTTTTTCCTTTGAGACAAAATCGCCTTAAGTTGTCCAGGCTGGCCTCAAACTCATAATTCTCCTGCTTCAGCCTCCTGAGTAATTGAAATTACAAGAGTGTGTTAGCTCAGAGGCTTTTTTACTCAAACGTGTATTTGTCTTAGATCACTGTTCTTTTAGGACACACTATGTTCATGTATGCATTTCTCCTGGGAGACAAAACACAGAAGTTTTTAAAGCCTTTTGTCTACTTTTCTGTGACTTCTGTTAATTTTTCTTTCTAGGGTTATGCAGCCTACATTGAACCTCTAGGCGATGGTGCTTTGTCAGGCAGGATTGTTACTTAACAAAGAAAGAATTTATTTGTTTCTCTATGTATCCATACATAGACTAATTCATCACAGTTTTCACCATTTTGAAAGTCATTTCTGAAGCTAATAAAGAGTTCGCCCCCAGCCCTGGAGCTCAGCTCAGGCGCTGCTGGCAGCAGCACCCATGGTACAGCTGTGGGTCTTATCCTGGAAGCTGAGCCCGCATGGCTTTGCTGAGTTCCACTTTAGGTGCCAGGAGTGTATCCTGAGACACACCTGCAGCTAAGCAGATTTGCTGAAAGTAACTGTGGGGTAAAACTGAACACTTGCATGTATGGAAGGGAAGCAAAAACATTTTGGGGCCAAGTTTTCTTTCTCTCTTTTTTCCTTTCTCTTTTAAAATGAAACTAGAAAGATACTCAGTTTTCTCATATATTCTTATTCCATTAGCTCCTTCTAGCCTTAAGAATCTGATTCTCTGATATTTTGCAAGCCTTCCCGTTCTCACCCCTCACCGTGCCTTCCATGGTGTGTCACTGCAGGAGCGTGAACAGGGAGACGCAGGAGAAATTCGTGCACACCTCTGTCCACGGGGTGGCGCATGACTTCGTGCAGGCAGCATTCAAGGCTTTTAGCCTGGCTCCTCCGGAGGCCGTGCCTCAACAGAAAGACCCAGATCCTGAGTTTCCAACTGTCAAATACCCGAATCCTGAAGAGGGCAAAGGAGTCTTGGTAATCTACATTTTTAAAATTAAAAATCTGCCTTGACTATAATGTCAGAACTTACTCTCAAAGGAAGTATTTCCTGTGTTTTTTGTTTTGGAGAGAAATGGCTTTCTTCCTTGGAAATGTGTATGTTGGTTAGTCATCATATCTAACATCAGGGTGCAAGAGCCAAGATCTAAATAATGCTTTCAATCAATTTCATTTAATTAAAATTTAACTTGCTGTGTTTAATACCAAAGCTAGCAGTAAGAGAATGGAGTTTTTTTTTTTTAATATTATGACATTTATTCCTTTATTGTCACTTTTCTGATATGAAGGAGTGTTACTAAAATTATAGATAGTTCTCATAATATTTTTTACGGTTGGATAACATGTGATACTGAGAGAGTTATTTTTGTTTGTTTGTGAGGTTGGTCACACAGCAGTGCCTAGAAATACCGGTCCATCTACACATAGTCACATGTGTGTATAATCACAGGGCAGGTATGGGCCGTGCCCTGACGCCTCCTTAGCTAACCTCTGGCTTAGAAAGATATCTGACGAAATAAGACCAGCTCCAGAAGTAAAATCTATGCTTCGTTTGAAGAAAATCCTTGTTTAGCTTTTAAAAATCTGAACTGTTTAAAAGTCTGCAATATACTCCATTCTTGATTTAAATAATCTTTTATTTTCATGCTCTTTTCCAGACTTTATCTTTTGCTTTGGCTGACAAAATCAAAGCCAAAATTGTGTTAGCAAATGACCCAGATGCCGACAGACTTGCTGTGGCAGAAAAACAAGACAGGTGAAATTAATTGTAATTCTATAATGGAAAATATAAAGGATGACATCTTTGGCAGTAACATATTTGCAGGCAGGCTGAGCCCATGTGGAAACATTTTTCTCTAAGTTTACATTTATTTTGCAAAGCATTTCAACAGACCTTCTCTGGAATCTCTAACAGAGCAAGCTGTTGATCTGAAGGATAGAAGCACTGCGTCATTGGCAAGCATTCGTAGACTAAATCAACCCACTGTGTATTTGGAATTGAAATTACTTTTTGTGATCCTCCCTCATGTTTTAATGGATTTTAATAAAAATAATATCTCACTGCTACACAAGCCCAAAACTCTTTGCTTGGTGCTGGCTTTGCAGTTCAGTGTTTGCTGGTGGATTTGTTAAGGAGCCAGATCTTCAGAGAAATGCAGGGTTAGGTGGCCGACAGAGAACACCCCTGAGGTATTGGCACAATGGCCAAGACAAGTTCCAATCATAGAGTTTATACGAAGGAGTGTTTTAAAATGAAAGCCTTTACCAAGGGTTAAAATGAAAGCATTCCATGTCATCCTTGATATTCTTCTTTTACACAAAATTCAAAGACAGAGTGTATGCCCAGGCAAACTGACCCATACATAGTTGCTACTTAAATATTTGTGAAGTGGCAGCTTATTTCTGGCCAGTGTTGAAAGATAAGATGAGAACAGTTTTGTAGAAAGTACGACGTGCCTTGTCTGCTTAGTTGTCCTGTTGCTGATGCCTCCCTGAAGATCACTGAGATGAATGGGCTGTGTTTCTTTCAGTGGCGAATGGAGAGTGTTTTCAGGCAATGAGCTAGGGGCCCTCTTGGGCTGGTGGCTCTTCACTTCTTGGAAAGAAAAGAACCAAGATCGAAGTGCCCTCAGAGACACATATATGCTGTCCAGCACCGTCTCATCCAAAATCTTGCGTGCCATTGCTCTGAAGGAAGGGTTTCATTTTGAGGTAAGGTATTTGTGGGACTTGTACGTTTTCCTTTCTTTTGCGCTGTAGAAGACCTCAGGTGTTTCTTTTTCATTTGTGTTACCCCTATAGGAAACACTAACTGGATTTAAATGGATGGGAAACAGAGCCAAACAACTCATAGACCAGGGGAAGACAGTCTTATTTGCATTTGAAGAGGCTATTGGTAAGAAGTGAAAATGAGGATCATAGAATCTGTTAATGTATCGGATATAAACAAGTAAGAGAAAGATTTAGCTTGAGTTCAGCAGATCCACAGTGAAACAAGAGCTCACGGTTTACTTTGCTTCTCTGTTTCTTGGGCATTAACCATTGAACTGTCCTACTCCAAAATTGGCATCTCATATTTATTTCAGCAAAATGGAGCGGTCTTTGTGAATAATCAGGCCACCCACAGATGACTAAACACAGTGACACTGAGCACATGGCTGCTTGTAGCTTGAGAAGCCATATTTTAGGGAAGTTGTGATGTTTCTTTCCCTGTGGTGTTAAGTATCCAAACCTGATAAGAATCTGCCTGCCCCAGAAGTGCTAATGAGGATCTTGCTCAGGGGAGAGAAGTTGCAGCTGTGATGCCCTCAGCAAGGTCATGGTCATAGAAGGGACAGTCTGAGTCCAGCCGAACAGTTGAAAAAGTCTTGTCCTAAATGGTTCATCACTAGATGAGCAAAAAGAAGAGATGTGGAATTCAGATATTTGTGCCAGAAATTGTTTAATGGCTAACTTAGTAAAAGCAACTTACTAAAAACTATTGTGCCTTGACTTTATGTTCATCTGTATAGTGCCTGCAGCATATGTGTATCATTTGTTTAACTAATCGAGTGAAGTGTAATAGCTCAGTTTGCTTTTCTGTTGTCAGATTTGGCAAAATTACCCTCCTATAGTTTTTTATTTAAAAAAAAAATTATACACGTTTTTCTCAACTATTAGTCAAATATCTGCTACTCTGTGACTCTGGAAGAATCGGATCACACTGATCTTGACCTACAGCTGCTTATAATAGATCTAGCTAAGTAACCCGAAAAAGTGTAGAGGCCATATCTTAGTTACCTTTTACTCATTGCTGAGACAAAGTACCTGATGCCTAAAGTTAAGGAAGGAAAAGTTTATTTCTTACAGTTCTTGGAGGTTTCAGTCCATACTCAGTTGGTTCCAAGGCAGTGTGGCATGGTGGGACCGCAGTTCATGGCAGCCACAAACAGCAAGGCAGAAACTGGCGAGAGAGAGAAAGAGACAGACAGACAGACAGACAGAGGCACACCTTCCCGCCATTATGTGATATTCTGGCTCCACCCCTAGGCAGGTGTAGCACTCACACCACCAATCCGAGCGCTAGACAATACATCAGTCACAAACGCATAATTGCATGAGGCTTGGGGACCACTGACATACATGACAGGCCAGGTGCCAAGATGAATCATGTAACTTCCAGAACAATCTGTTTCGGAGAAGAAAGACATTGATGTGGATTAAAGCAATTGGAACCAATTTCATATGAGTTGGAATGAGTCTGCATAGTCAGAGAGCATCATGTAACCTAAAGAGAGAAACCGCCTCATGGGTTGTTTAGGAAGCTTGTTGAAGGCTTGCTCTGTTGTAGGCACTGGGCTGAATTCTCAAAACATATGATGGTTACTGGGAACCATGCATATGCTCAATACTTCTCCACTCCTAATGTACAAGAGGGTGCATGCACACATATGCCTGTTGCTGTGTAGGCACTGTGAATCTACTCCTAAAGGTGTGTGTATGACGCATGTTTCTGCAGGGTATATGTGCTGTCCTTTTGTTCTGGACAAAGATGGAGTCAGTGCAGCTGTCATAAGTGCAGAGCTGGCTAGCTTTCTAGCAACCAAGAATTTGTCTTTGTCTCAGCAGCTAAAGGCCATCTATGTGGAGTAAGTTTCTACAGATTCTATTTGATTGAAGTAATATTTTTAAATGTTTTATTATGTTCTTATACATGGCATACTAATATTACTTCTGATGCTCTTGCTTGGGTGATGGATTTTGTTTCTTGTGAAAAATAAGATCATATTTTCCTTTTGATGCTTAACCATTTATTAGTTAATACCATTTGCAGGTGCTTACCTCTTAACAAGCAAGAATGTTAGTTGTAGAAATGGCTGATTAAAGAATAAGATTTTAGATACCCGATGACAGCTCAGAGTATGCATGTGAAGTGTCTCCGTTCCAATAAAAATTTAATTTATACCTACATGCTGAAGGCCAGTTCATCATTTGCTGATCCTTGGGATGAACTGTTAGACCTCTTTTTTAATGCTGTTATTCTTTCGAAGCTATTTATGGTTATTTGTTTAGAATATACTAGTTAATATACCCTGTGTACACTCTGCAGACTTATTGTATTGCTCATTTTGCATGCATTTCTATTTTTTGATAGGTATGGCTATCATATTACCAAAGCTTCATATTTTATCTGCCATGATCAAGGCATCATTAAAAAGTTGTTTGAAAACCTAAGAAACTATGATGGGAAGAATCACTATCCAAAAACTTGTGGCAAATTTGAAATTTCTGCTATCCGGGATCTTACAACTGGCTATGATGATAGCCAACCTGATAAAAAAGCTGTAAGTAATGCTTATTTTGTCAGCCAAACTCTTTTCTGTTTACCTTTTTTATAATTTGAGTAGATTCACTTATTCAGTCATATGATTAGGTGAAGCTGATTTTTAGGCATTTAAGCATAGTGATAAGCTTTAAAATAAATGGGAAATTAAACATCATAGACTAGAACTAAAAGGTACTCGTTATTCATCTTAGCCCATGCCATCCTTTAACACGTAAGGAAATTAGCACTCAGAAATGTAAAGCCTGTGTGTGACCACACAGCCATGAGGTGATGGTTGTCTTAGTACTTTGTCATTGTGGAGACATAATACCTGACACTTTGCAAACTAAAAGAAGTTTGTTTTGGTACACAGTTTGTAGAGTTTCAGTCCACCATTGGCTGGCTCAAAGGCAGGGGTAGCATAGCAGAGGGACATCGTGGAGGAGAAAGAGCTCCTGATGTGGCAGCCAGGAAGCAGGAAGAGGTCAAGGGAGGAGAGGGAGATACCTGCTTCCAAGCCACACTCCCAGTCACCCATCTCCTCCAACCAGGCCTCACCTTCCAATGTCACACCACTGTGATCCATTCAAAAGCCCCACCTCTGAGTGCATGAGGCTTTACAGGAGCATCTAGACATACACCACAACGGTGGTCCAGGACAATCTGGTCTCGTAACGTTGGATCCAGTGTTCCCTTTCTGTCCTCCTCCCTTATCAACTGCGTCAGAATCACACAGAGGGCTGGACAACACGAGGAGTGCTGCAGTCCACCCTGGAGTTTCTGACTGAGTAGCTGTAGGGTTGGGATTGAGAATTTACTTTCTAACAAGTTTCCAGGTGCCCAGATGCTGATACAACTGGTCCAGCCTTTGAGAACCAGTGCTTACTCTGCAGTTCATCACATTATTCTTTCAGTGTTTGGGAGCTGCTCGCTATAAACCATGGTTTGCATTCTGTACACTGTGTGGACCCCTTACTGGGGCCAAAGGTGGCAGAATTATTGCTTACCTGGCAGTGGGTTAGGAAGAGAGTAATGCTTATGAAATGTTAGATCTTTTGTATTTACCATTTTGCATTTTTATTTTCACCTACACACAATATATTTTTGAGGAATAAATAGTATTAAAAGGATTCCAATGTCCCCATTGGCGTGCTGAGACAACCACACCCTCGTAATTGTTTCTTCAAGTGTTTACTGCAAAAGTTCTCAATAATGTGCTCCTATGGTGATGTTTTGACTCATCAGGGTTCAGAAATGATTAATTTTCTATCATGGAAAATTAATAAATTAATAAGCTATAAGTATTAGGTTCTTATACTTCCTCTATTCAGTACTCACTATTTCTGCCCTTGCACATTCTGAGCTTTTGTGACTAAGTAACTGTTGTGGCCTGCATAGCTAAGTAGTGGGTTTTCTGCTAGACATCCTTAATTTGTATAAAAAAATGTAACTGTCACTACTTCCTCCCAAGTACCTCTCCATAGAGCTTCCACAGAGTCCAAGTATCCAGCTGGTCTGTGGGTTCCATTTTGGGACAGTGGTCCCTTCTTGGTCCCTCCATCCAGGCCAGGTCAGCTGTTCTCAGAACTGAATACATAGCTGGCACCCTGGAAATGCCCTTGGCCAGAATTGAGACCCTTGCTGCTGCCATCAGGGCTTCCTCTTTCTATATTTATTTTCCTGAATCACATTGTCTAAAAAAAGTGAATGGGAGGTAAATTTTTAGAGGTTTTTAGGTCTGAAAATGCCCCACTCTGCCCTCACACTTTATTAACTCAGTTGTGAAAGCGATGCTTACGTATTGTTCAGTTCTCAGAGTCACATGAAGTATCCACTCATTCTCTCCTCCAGCTAACAGGCCGGTGTGTGTGTGTGTGTGTGTGTGTGTACAAGACTGTGAAAGTCACACTTAGTCACTGCCTTGCACTTGACTTTCCTGTCTGAGAAGATTTGGGGAATTTTAACTTTAATCTCATGTTCTGAGATTGCTCAGTGATGACATTCCTCTGTATCTCTTTTTAGTCATTTTTTTGGGGGACTTTGTGGGTCTTGTTTGACCTGTGAATCCTTTAATGCAGAGTTTACTTGGGTATGTGTCAAGGAAGGGACTGGTTGAATTTTAAAATAATTTCTCCTTCTTAAGGAGGTCCTAGGAAGAGGCTGGCTTTGTAAGACTGACACTCTACTTTTACTGTTTTATGTTATTCTTTCCTGTTCATCTCTGTCTTCTACTTTGGGGAAGATTTCTTCCACTAATTTTCATGTTTCTATTGACTCTATTTCAGCCTTTACTAAGTTATTAAAAATGGCACCGTATCCTTATTGTGTATATATGTATTATATCTTACCTCTCTAAGATATTAGTTATACCTTTAAAAAATATAGATCTCACTAAGCTGATGACACACACCTTTAATCCTAACACTCATAGGCTAAGGCAAAAGAATCACCAGTTCAAAGCCAGTTTGAGGTCCTGTCTGAAAAAAAAATAAAGAGAGGGAATTTCTTCTCTCTTGGTTCTGGACTTTTTCATTTGTTCACTGTCTTTCCCCAGAAGGCTGACCATCGCTAATTATCCTTTACATATTTTATTTTTGGTTTGTTGTGTTGTTGGGCAGTACTGAGGATTGAACTCAGGACCTACACACTAAACTATATCCCCAACTCCTCTTAAATTTTTTTATTATGACGCAGGCCTTTGCTAAATTGCTCAAACTGGGCTTCAACTTCAGATCCTCCTGAATTAACCTTCCAAAGTGCTGGGATTACAGGCATGTGCCCAGCTTCCTTTGTATGCTTTGATTGGAAGGTCTCTGCATCGGTGTGAGTCAGATAAGAGACTTCACTTGGATATTGGGTCGCAAGTCCATGTCTTAAGGGGGACTCTCATTTAGAGCTGTTGGGCTGCTCCAAAAAAACCTAAGCCTAGCCACGGGCAAGAAGCTGGGGTGCCAAGGCCCTGCAAACATGCCTGCGGGCAGGGAAGTGCAGTCCCATTCTTCACCCTCCTGTGCCCGCCCTGGTGCCTGGTATTCTAGCTCTGCAGCCTTTCTGGCTGTCACTGGAGAGCTGAAGCAGCACCTGCACAGATGGAACCGAGCTGGCTCCCTGACTGTTGGCCGAACCAAGCCTGTGTGTTACCCCTGCCACACATGAGCCTTTGTGTACCTGCTGCCTGCGGTTCGTTAGCCTGGCGGGATTCTGCAGCTCACACGGACTGGCTCCTGCTCAGCCACTAAGATCCCGTCGTTACAAGTCCCATCGTAGCAGTTCTTCTGCGCCATCTGTTCTAACTTCTGTGTTCACCCACAACCCTATCACCTGATTCGTCCTCTTTTTTTTAATTTGCATTGTGTTCATTCTTGTGAAAATATTTCTAGTATAATTTTAGTGGAGCTTTTTTGGGGGGGCTATCAACTATAAATACATCTATCATTGCCAGAAGCTTTACATTTTTTAAAAAGTCCTATGGATTCTTTGGGGCTAAGTTTCATTGTACAACAAGATACTATCAAAAAAAAATTGGTTTTTTTTTTGAGCCCGTTATGTTGGTGCATGCCTATGATCTCAGCATCCTGGAGGCCGAGGCAGGCAAGGCCAGCCTGAACTACATAGTGAGACCCTGTTTTAAACAACAACCAAAAAAATTAGTAGTGTTATTAACCTATTTGTCAGTTTTTTGTAAAATGATGTCTTTTAATTTGAATAAAACTATAGTAGCTTTAATAGATCTAGGAAGACAAAAAAACCTGTTTATTAAGTTACTTAATGTTCATAAATTGACATCGCCACTGAGTCGTTCGTTCACATGGAGACCATTTTCTGATCTCCGTAAAATTGTTACTGTCTTACCATTGTATCTGTTGGGTAGTTTTTATTTGCTCATCCAAGGGGAGATAATAGGCCAGAACAGTTTGTGGTACCATTTAAATGCATGACACATGTAAATTAATTCCTAGGTGCTTCCCACTAGTAAAAGCAGCCAAATGATCACCTTCACCTTTGCTAATGGAGGCGTGGCCACCATGCGGACCAGCGGGACAGAGCCCAAAATCAAGTACTACGCGGAGCTGTGTGCCCCTCCTGGGAACAGGTATGATGGCACCGCAGCTGGCGTGACTTGCATTCTCCAGACTTCCACTTGGCTGTGTTCAAGTGCCGAGCACAAATGTTCATCTTTCCAGGGTGTAGTTTAATTGGAAACTGTGTTAGTGTCGTAAAATAAACAACTGTGTGAGCACCCAGGGAAGAGTGCTTCATTCTTCCCTTCTCCTTTTCTACCCGTGTTTGGGTGGGAAAAGTACATTCCTAATTTCAGTAATAATGCTAAAGCTTCCCTTTTTCGAGTATTCTTTTGGAAGCAAGTGTCTGAATTTTTTGCCTTTCAACCTGCAGCCTTCTCGGGTCACTGATAAAATAAATTAAAATCCCTGTCATGTGTACTCGTAAACATCTTTGATGTCTACACAGGTCTGAGTTGGGTCTCAGGGAGGACAAAGAGCTACCTCAGAAAGAGTCCATGCCACCAGAGAGTGGATGAGCTGGTAGCTTCAGGGTCATGTCTGTCTCTGTGCTCTTGGCAAAATACACGAGCTGGTCACCTTCTACAGTCATAATGCTTTAAATTTTAACAATGGCCCTGAGATCGCTGTCCTCACCCGATATAAATGCAATACTGCATACCTGTTGGATACTAAGCTAACTGTCACTCCCCAAGGTATGCTGAGAATCAGGGCAGTGTTTTCAAAAGGTGTCCAACAGCAATCAGACTTCAAACGTGAGGCTGTGATTTCAATCCTCAGTATAGGAAAAAAAAATCAAATGCAAGCCATATACACAACTTAAAATTGTTTACTAACCACATTTTTTAAGAAGGGCAAACAAGTGAAATTAATTTCAGTAATATTTTCTGTAACTTAAGACACAACATACAAAACATTACCATGACATATTTTTTAAAATTGTAAAAAATTATGAGCTATTATATAAAAAAATTTCTAATCCTTCAAAATCTTTTCTGTGTATATATTGACAGCATGTCTCAATTTGAATGCTAATTTTTATTGGATATGGATGATCTGTATTTACATTTTATAAAGTTTACAGTAAAAGAAAGTACAGATTTTGATGTCCAAATTATTCTAAAATGAGGTCAAGTATCAGTTTTTAAATTTACATCTTGGGGCAAGAGCTCAACCAGCAGACAGATGCATAAAGCACACATTTTTTAAGAATTCTGCATTACCAGCAGTTTATTTTAATACTATAAATAGGGATAAAAATAATTATAATAATAGCTACATTTATTGAGGCCTTTGTATCTGGTTCTGTGCTAATTATTTTATATCTCAGTCTATACAACAGCTCTCTTGAGAAGGTAAAGAGCTAGTGTGTAGCAGAGCCAGAATTAATGTCTGTAACAAAATTGATTGCTCTGGTTGTATCAAAATTTCCATATGGTTAAATACTCAGCTGTTATGATGTTGAGTGTGACTTTCCATAGGCATTTTCACTTAGTATTTTTATATTTCTGTACATCATTCTTTGAAAAACAAATGTACATCAGTCCAGTTTAAATATATTTTCTCTGTATCTCTGTCCTTTTTAATACGCTGTTAAATGTATCAAATATTTTAGAAATTTTCCTTTATAATAATAACCCTAAGTTAAAAGCTTTATGCGATTTAAATTTTTCCGTAACTTATTGAATGAATATTCAATTCAAATGTTTGTTTGTAGATTGCTAAAAAAGGGGCCAGGAGTATAGATCAGCAGCTCAGTGCCTGCATGGCAAGCACAGGGACCTAAGTGCAATTCCTAGTACCGAAAAAGAAAACAGTTGGGGGGAGAAAAAAACAGAGAGAAAACAAGAAAAAAAAAAAAAAGGACCCATTATTAATTGCTGGGAAAAAAAAACTTTGAAAAGTTGTACTTATATTGCTTTTATTGAAATGTTGCTTCCGTCTAGTAAGTAGAGTATTAGGTTCAGGGTTGGTCAGTGGGTATAATGTACTCGTTCAGAAAAGGCACCAGTGTCCCTACCATGCAGTGATGAAGACATGACTTAAGATAAATTTAAATGTTATTAATATATTTTATATTGTGGATTTAATTTATTAATGGAATTCCACAACCTACTGGTCATTTAGAACAGAAAATCTTCTGCAAATATAAGTCCTACTGTTTAAAAGTATTTTTGTTGGAGGAACTGTCTTTAATTTTGTCCAACATTTTGCTTTAAAAAGTTTCAAACATGTTGAAATATTAAAATAGTAATGCAGTGAACCCACATGCCCTTCACCCCATGGGTTGGCAATTTTTTTCCTGTAAGGAGCCAGGTAGTAAATATCTTAGGGTTTGCAGACCGTGTGGTTTTTGTTGAAACTGCTTAGCTCTGCCATTATAGTGCAAAAGTAGCCATATACTTAAAGGAATGGGGGTGGTTATATCCCAATAAAATTTTATTTCTGAAAACAGATCATGAGGTATTATTTGCTGATACCACTTTAATCATTGCAGCATTTTGCAATGTTTGCTCTCAAAAACTGCATTTTTTCCCCTTAAGTATTTGAAAGTAAGGTGCAGATTCCATGATACCTTACTACTAAAGACTTCTATGCAGCAGCGGAGATCAAGGGTCTTCCCTGGTTACCTCAGTTTTATTAACGAATAGCTATATCAAGGCAGGGTTCCAACAGAGAAAGCAGAGCCAGCAGAATGTATATAGTAAGAGATTTATTACAAAGGATTGGCAGTGACTATGGGACTGGCTGCAAGTCTGAGGTTTGTAGCGCAGGCTGCCCGAGGGAGGCTGGAGTTCTCGGGCCTGGGGTGAAGCTGCAGGACACGGGTTACATTGGTCAGGACAACCTCAATTCTGCCTAGTTAATGTCTTTCAGTATCTGACCTGACCAGATCATCTAGAAAGCTTCCTTCACTTAAAGTCAAGTGATGATAAGTATTAATGAGATTACAGGTTCCCAGTGACACCAAGATTAGAATTTGAATAGCTGGGGACTGTAGCCTCATCAAATTGATGTAAACTCCAGCTTGCCTGAAAATCCTCCAAAGAGCTCTTTTCTTCCAACCCAGAATCAAACTGAGTGTCCTGCATAGCATTTAGTTCCTACGTAGATCATGTGGTTTTTCAAGATGGATACATGTAATACTTTGCTATATGTTTCCTTAAAATGATCCACCTAGATTTTCAGAAACAAGAATTCCTAAACTGATGAGTCTGTCTTGTTTTTTAAAGTGTTAAAAAATATTCTCATACTTTAATATAAAAATGGAGCATGTTAGTGATTAAAATGGGGGCAAGTAAGACAGAACATTAATTTTAGAAATTATTACCTGAGTAAACCACATACAATAGTACTGATTTTTGTCTGCATGTAAGAAGCACAATGTCAGAAACATTAAATCAATCATTATATAAAAAGGAATCAACATGCATATTGCTGGGGTTAAAAGCCAAACTTGATTAATAAATGAGTTGATAATGAGGTTTTAGTTTGAAGATTTTTAAAAAATAATTATGGAGAACTGTTATTTTCTTCAAGGCACAAATACGGAGCAGGAAAAAAGACTAAAAGATTAGTGTAATTGATACATACTTATGAAGTGTAATTTCTATATAGGTTGCCAATAGGTATAAAAATAATTATAATGATAGCTACATTTATTGAGGTCCTTGTATCTGGGTATGTGCTAATTATTTTCTATCAGTCTGTATAACAGCTCTCTTGACAAGATAAAGTCTTTACCCCAATTCTGCAGATGAGGAATCTGGGCCTCTAGGAGCCAAGCCACTTGCCCAAGGGCTCTGAGCTAGTGTGTAGCAGAGTCAGAATTAATGTCTGTAACAAAATTGATTGCTCTGGTTGTACTGTTTAGCTCTTGCAATGTACAAACAATCTTAACTAATTATAGGGCTTGTCATTTTCTATTCAAAGAAATTTTGCAAATGAACTTTGCAGATGGTTGAGCATGAAGTAATGGAAAGAATGGTGGATTTAGCTTTTCAAATATTGTTTTAGGTATTTATAATAACTCACACTAGTAACCTGTTTAGCAGCAAGTCAGTTTTATCTGTTACTTACTTTCTGATTGTTTGAATATAAATAACTTTTTTTAATCCTTAAAAATTTGTTTTCCCTAGAGAGATCAGTCTGCCTACATTTATGTTTAAACTTTACATGGTTGTGGCAGTTTTTTTCTGGAGGTAGATCAATAAAGATAAAGTGCTGGGGAGTCCCATTTCCTGGTGCTTGACTGCCCAGGTGTGTGAGGGAGTCCCCAGCCATATCCACTCTAGATGGCAGCTTAAGGACAAACCTCATTGGAAACAGTCATAGTTTAGCAATCTCAGGATTTTACACAGACGTTGTTGGTCAAAATTCAGCAGGTTTTAATGGCAGTGCTATTGTGTTTCTTTAAAAATCCTTATGAGAAGAACTGGGATCATTTTATTCATAGTGGGGAAGCTGGAAAAAGCTTCAGGGAAAATAACACTTACCTCGTGGGATTTTTTTTTTTCCTAAATCAACAAATGTGTTCCCATGCCTAAGTCACTGAAGTTCTATTTTTTCTTATTTTGTTGTTGTCCTCTTGAGGTTAAATTTCAGTGTCACTTAGTGAATAGAGGAAGCATTTAAAATGTGCTCTAGAATAATACATTCCTCTGGATTTTTTCCCCCTTTATTTTCCAGTGATCCTGAGCATCTGAAGAAGGAGCTGAATGAACTGGTCGATGCTATTGAAGAAAATTTTTTCCAGCCTCAGAAATATAATCTGCAGCCAAAGGCAGAGTAAAATATTCCAGCGTGAAACATACCATCAGTGAAGGTGAACTTTTTTTTTTAAGAAATTTTTTGAGGGCCTAGTGGTTTAATTTATCACTACTATAAGTATTTATGTATTTTAAATAGATCTACATTTTTCATTGCTTTATATTTGTTCTTCAAGGTTACTAAAGATGGCTAAACCTAACAAACCAACATGACTGTTAAAATGTTAAGCCTGACCTTTACGTTTTTTAAATGAAGATGTACAAGAAACTAACTTTCAAAAACAGATTGTAATTAACATGCCTTAAGTTTCATAGATGTATGTTTACTGTATTCTTTTTACATATAGTTGAAATAGTCAGGAAACCTATATAGTTACTGAATTCTGGGCCACATATGTAGATAGCTTCTCTTTAACTATATGTACATTTATATTTCTATCAGTTACTTACAAAGTGAAATAAATGAATGCATCAAATGTTGTATTCATGTTTGGGGGAAAATACAATTCACAGGAACTGTAAAATGGAATAAAAGGTGCTTTAAAAAGATATTGTTTTGACCCCATTAGCTCTAATAATGCTGAGAGTTGTACATATGCTAGGAAACAAATCAGCATAGCTGTCTTTGTTCAATGTGTGGAAGTTCATTTTATCTCTTTAAATCAGTTAGGTATTTGCAACTTACAGAATAGCTTACTGTTCCTTCTACCTCTTCATGGCTCATGCCCATATAACCTTTCAGAATTCTTCTACTCAAAGAGCTGGGCATGGTGGAGCATGTCTGTAATCCCAGCACTCAACAGGCTGAAGCAAGAGGATCACTAAGTTCAAGGCCCGCCTGGGCTACATAGACCTTGTCTCAAAAAATAACAACAAAAACAAAAAACAGAATTATTCTGCTTGAGCGTGCACGAGTTAAGACCGAAGTTTTCTTGATGTATTTTACGTATTTTATATGGATTTGCTGTTTGTTTGGTTTTTTAGTGCTGGTGTTTGAACCCAGAGCCTCACAAATCCCAGGCAGGTGTTCTACCAAAGAGCTCCCAGGCTCTTTTCTATTTTTAAAGCAAGTCATTACCAATGTTGTTACTGCAGTCAACCTAAATGGTTATTAGCAAGTTTGGAAACATGAAGATTTACAATGTTTCTAGCATTTATTTGTCAAGAGTAAAGGAAAAATTTATTTTTATACCTTCAGGATACACCGTTTGTGTCCTACTAGAATTTTTTAAGATTGTCTCTCTACGTGGCCCAGGCTGCCCTTGAACTCTCAGTCCTCCTGCCTCAGTTCTGTGATGTTGGCCAAAGTGCTTACAATTCTGTCTTTTGTGTTTTGAAAAAAGACTAATTTTTTAAAGACAGTTTTAGTTTTCCAGCAAAATGAAGAAGGTACAGAGATATTTGTACAGCCCTCAACCCACACATGCATAGGCTTTCCCATTCATCCTACCAGAGTGTACATTTGTGACAGATAGGAGGTGGACTTACACCCATCATAATCACACAAACTATAAAGAACAGCAAAAAGATCCTGGCCAGCAGCCAGGAGGAGGGTGGGATAAATGAGCAGAGCACCAAGGATTTTTAGGGCAGAGAGGGTACCACTCTTTTCTACAATGGTAGACACATGTCACTGCTCATTTGTCCAGACTCATAGGACATGCAACACCGAGTGAGCCCTAATATGAGCTACAAACTGTGTGTGATAATTTTACTATTTTTAAAATGAGAAAATTTCACTGCATGATCTTGGAGGTCCTTTTATGCCGTAGGTCTTTAAATTATCTAGAAAAATCCATAAAAGACAACTATCAGCAACAATTAATCATCAGCAGTTCTGTTTGGCAGAATGCTTAGTTAGCTTTTGTCTAAGATCTAATAGCTCACTGAGGGGGGTAAGATTTTCTGCCACATAGGGCAGATTCCAGCTCGGATGTTGCTTTGCCTTGACACCTGAAGGAGATGGAGGCTGAAACTGGCCACAAGCAAAACAGGACTTCATGGCATGAAAACGCTGGAAGTGTTGCAGATGTGTGGCCACGGTCATCAGACTGTCGCAGGTGCCCCATCTGCATCCTAATTACTGTACCTCATCATCTAGTTTGAGTGTAGAGATGGCAGTCCATTTTCTTGATACCCAGAAAGAACAAATCCCACTTAAAATCTGAGGCTTGACTTGCAGGAGGAAATGCAAGCCAACTTTTACTTTTTTTGTTTGTGGTTACAGAAAAAAACCGCCGTTCCTCTTTGCAGTAACCATTGAGAGGACATTAGTTATCTCATTGCTCTGTCTCAATCATGATGCTGTTAAGGGAAAATATTGTTATTTCATTAACATTGGAAGTTCCTGTGATTTTAAAAATACATCCTTCAAATGACAGGAAAAATATGTATGTCCTACTTTGAGCATATAAATCATATTTATTATTTCTGCATCCTAGAAGACAGCATTCTCAGAGCTATTTGTGCATTCATTCGTATGTTCACTAGTTAGGTCATATTTGAATTCTGCCAGGGCCCAGGCACTTTTTTAGATAATAATAAAAAGTGTAGGGTCTTAATCTCAAATGTAATCTAGTATAGCTGGGTATGGTGATTCATGCTTGTAATCCCAGATACTTGGGAGGCTGAGACAGGAAGACAGTGAGTTTGAGGCCAGTCTAAGGCACCTAGTGACACCCTGAACTTTAAAACAAACAAAAAATCAGTGACCTAGCAAGAGTAATATATAGGCATATAGATAATACTCACATAACACATATTTTATGTGTACTATTACAGTGCACAAACGTGCTGCATTTAATAGTAAAACATTTGAAGTGAGGCAAATTCTATAATTTTCCATTTTCAAGTTCAGACTCCTAACACGTGTTTAAAACAAAATGACTCTTTGAGACCATTTGTATCTTCCTGTCTCATTCCTTTGTCCCATTCTTAACGCAAGATATGTATACTCACTGAAAGGCAGACATCACACCACTGGCAGATGGAAATCAAAGTTTAACATCAACTCTTCTATAGACTTCTCCATGTAAGCAATGCAAGCTAAATAGTCCGATTAGTTGAAGAAGAAGGAGGAGGAGGAGAAGGGGAGAGGAAGGGGGAGGAGGAGGAGGAGGAAAGGGAGGTCACCAACACAATCATGATTTTGGTCATGGTCTTCAGGATGTAATGTAATATTGAGGATTGTAAATTTTTTCAAACTGCCTCTCTTAGCTCCCAAAATAAAATTTGAAGGGGAAAAAAACTTGTCAGCCATCTCTTGCTTGAGTCTAGTTAAGAGTTTTAGAATTTGACCAAACCCTGGGACAGAATGGAGTTGAACACACAGAACAAAGAACCAGCAGTAGGTCTGACTACCTTTTGAAACAATTTCAAAATTGCATTGTGCAACTTCCAAAGGGAAGTTAGGGTTGCAAGTTGCAGATGACTGAACCTGATTATATCCTTAAAATATACTGACTGGGCGTGATAGCGCATGCCTGTAATCCCCACACTCAGGAGGCTGAGGCAGGAGGATCCCCATCAGTTCAAAGCCAGACTGTATTACATAGTGAGACCCTGTCTCAAAACAAAATAAAACTACACTGTTCTGAACTCTGTTACCTTAACTAGAAAAGAACAATTTTTTAAAAAGTGAAAACATAAAACTGTGGCAAGAGTGAACAGCTCCCTACCTAACAGGAATACCTCTGGTTTAATAAAACAAAAGTGAGCTGCAGGCAGTGGCTTAGGCTATTTATCTCTTCTGTGGGCTCTGCAGGATTCCTTTAGTTCCTTTCCTGACCTTGAAGTGATTCATCTTCATCCCCTTTTTCCTTTTCCTAGTAATTTATTCCAAACTACTGAGTCTGTCCTGTAGGGTTTCCCACATTTTGGGTTCTGCTCCCTCCTGTCGATGGTATATTTAACATCTTTCTCTGTGGTCTGCATTTCCTGTCAACCTGTGCAGTTAGACAGAGTGCAGTCTATTTCTGGCTTGACTTTTCTTAGCACGAATAGTTGATGGAGAAGTATGAGACGCTTTTGTAGTTCACAGATTAGGTATCCCCAGCCAGACCAGGTAAGTGGCCATGGTATTCAGTTGAAAAACTAGATGAATCAGCATGCCCAGTGTCTCACATACAGCACACAATATACCGGGGACTGACGTAAGAGGGCCAAAGAGGTGATGCATTTCTTTTTCTTTTTGGGGACTGACTCCACAGCCTTCATGCTGAGCTAAATTTTATTTTTCTTCCTCTTATTATTATTGTTGTTATTATTATTATTTTAAGTAAACAAGATCCAGCTAAGTTGCTAAATTGCTCAGGCTGAGCTTGAACCATTGATTTTCCTACTTTAGTGTCCCAGAACACACACACACACACACACACACACACACACACACACAGCCTGATGAACCATGCATACAGGACTAGTAATCTATGCCAAACTCAATGAAAGGGTATTGATGCTTTTGGAGAGTTCTATTAGGCTTCAATCATTCCAAGAGGTTGATATGTCCCACCTGTTATTAGTGACTCTTTTTCATTGATAGCACCTTTCTTTATTCTAGAAGAAAATTAGATTTAGTTGTTACTGTGAAAACCAACATACAAAGGAAAAAATGTGAGTATATGGAGAATCCACTGAGACCTGGTGCAGTACTTGCTTGAGTGGATCAGCTACATCTTGAATATAGCCAGAGGAAAGATGAGAGTTGTTATGGTTTGTTATGGCTTGTGTCTAAATGTCTCCCCAAAGGCTCATGCAGTCATAAGTAGGGATTTTTGGGGGGCGGAGCTAAGATGGCAGATAGATAACAGCCAGCTACAGTGGCTCCATGAGATAGTCAACTTAGAACTCAACATAGTATGACATGGGGAATCCTGATCAGAGGGAGAGGAATTCTCTCCTCCCAAGAAGAAACTAAGGTGAAAAAAATGAATCAAACATACACTCCTGCCTGTCTGTGCCACTGTGCAGCCCTGAGAGCCTCCAGGTCACTGGTGAGACAGGCAATCCCTGCGCTACCACCTCCAGTTGCCTCCTCTGACTGTCACCAGGGGCCCGACAGAAGCAGGGGAGTAAAAGGACTTGGCAACCACCAGCTGCCCCCGCTCCCGCCACCACCACCACTTCCCTGGATCTGGGCCTTATCTAGGAGGGCGTGAGGAAGAGGGCGGGTTCCGCCACTCAGGACCAGACCTGCTAGGACGCATTACCACCTTCGCACTCGCCACTCGAGCAAGGACCCGAGCCCACCACACAGGCACTGAGCAGGCCCCCGCCACTAGAGCGCCTCCAAGTTCCCTGGGTGGGCAAGTATGTCTTCATCACCACCAGGCCCATGCAGCCGGAGCCCCACGGAGCCGCTGCTGCAAATGGAGCCCAGAGAAGCTGCTTCTGAAAACACCTCTTCAGACAATAATCAAAAATACAGAACCAGAACTTTCCGGTTTCCTGCTGTGATCCACCAGCTTCAGGGAATTGAGCCTACCAGCCTGCACACTGAACTCTGGACTGGGTGGCCTGAGGTGAGTGTCCCCGCACCATCCCAAGGCCCTGGGAGGGAGTTTAAGGTACTCAGGTAACAGCAATTTGGGGAGGGCAGCAAACCCCCAGTCAGCATGCTTTGGAAAGACCCTAAGCAATCCAGAGAGGGCCAGAGATCCCCCCAGACCTGTCTGAAGGAAACCAGGACCATGACAAGAGATAGAAAAAAAAAACCTCTAGCTGCTGACCCTGGAAAAATAAGCCCAGGAGAGATAAATACAGAAGAGAACCAGTGCAGTAATCATGCAATATTAGATACAGCATCAGCGGACATAAAGAAATACTTTCATGCCCTCATAGACAAATTTAAAACTGTACTTCTGATCCAAGTGAGGCAAGATATAAAAAGATAAATTAAACAAATGATAAGCCCCTCCCAAGTGGAAGAATGGAGGAACTCAGAAAAGGAAGAGAAAGCTTTCATGAAGAATATAAACAAAATCTAGAATACGTGAAACAGATCCAAAGAGATTACCAGGAAACTAAAAACTCCATTGAAAACGGGCAAAATGCCTTGACAGAAACTAAAGTTACCCTTTTGAAACTTGCAGAGAGATTTATGGTGTGTGATCACGAAAAAAAAGATCTCTTAAAAATAACAAGGAACCAGGAAGAAACAATACAAAGGCTAGAAGATGACAAGAGGATTTATAACTTAAGAATAAAAAATGTGAGCAAAGAAGCAGGAGAAACTACAAATGAACTACAAAGAATATTCACAGATATAATTAAGGAAAACTTCCCAAGCATAAGAAAAAGAAATGATATCCAGATAAATGAGGCATACAGAACTCCAGGCACCTACAACCAAACAGATCTACACTCAGACATATAAGATTCCAGAAATCCACCACAAGAACAGAGTATTAAAAGCAGCTGGAGAAAAGAAGCAGATTATCTACAATGGGAAAATTACCAAAATAACGACAGACTTATCAACATAAACTCTTAAACTGAGAAGAGCCTGAGGGGAAATAGTCCAAGCTCTGAAAGAAAATAATCTGCAACTGAGACTGATGTACCCAGAAAAACTCTCTCTCAAAATTAGTGGAGAAATAAGATATTTCCTAGACAAGAAGGAACTGTGGGAGTTAATGGCCACCAACCCAACCCTACAAAAAATACTGAAGGACATTCCAGAGAGAGAGAGAGGAAAAAATACCAGGATTCCAGCAACAGTGACAGAGAGGCCTCAGTGAACAGGGCAGACAGTGGAATGAGGGAGTAAAGTGGACAGATAGTGACAGAAGAATAAAATAGCAGAAATGAGGCAGAGATGGTAAGCTATAATCTTTAATATAGATAGCTCTGATACACTAACAAAAAAAGAAACACAGGCAGAGTAGACTAGGAGGCAGGATCCATCGAGATGCTCTGAATAGGAGATACACTCAACCTGAAAGAGGGTTAATAAACTGAGAGTCAAAGATGAGAAAACAATGCTGTATGTGACAGGAAACCAGAGAGAAATAGGGACAACTCGTCCAGCAGCCTCAGATAGACTGGAAAGCTATGCAGCTGGAAGGAAGGACAACCTTGTGGCTTTAGTAGGTAAAGGAGCACAGCTCAAGATCAAGCTCAGGGGTAAAAAGGTTCAGCAACACTCAGATAACAGGCTGCCCCCCTAATCTAAAACTAAAAGAGCTAGTAGGACCCAAACTACACAAAGCACCTTGAGAAAGGGAAAAGGGAGGAACTGTATAAAAAAGGAAGGCAGAGGACATTGTTAATAGTGTATCAGGATTTAAAAGTCATAGTAGTCTTATTGCTCTGTTTAGTTTGGTTATATTTTGTTTCAGTCTGTCTACGCATTTGAGGGCACAGACAGCTAACCCAAAAATAGCAGGTTATAGCACAGTAACTATCCTTAATTTCCTATTACTTACACTGAAACCCTGTATTACTTACATTGTCTTACTATGACTGATCTTATTTGAAGCTGGTTTGTTAGACCGCTGTTTAGCCTCAACTGATTTCACTCGAATATGGTATCCTTGATAGTATTAAGTCTGGGAGTGACTTTATGTGCTTCAATTTTGTAACTTGAACAACTATTTCTAAGATGAGAATATGTAATCTATTAACTAGTGATTTCTTACTGTTTATTTTTTCAATTTTATATTACTTGTACCCTTTTTCTGTTGTTTTTTTTTTTTTTTCCTTTTTCTCCTTAAATAAAAAAAAATTTTTAAAAAAAGTCTGGGAGTGGAGACAACTACTCTGAAGATGACAAGATGTAAAAGATATCCATTCTGGTTTTGATTATTAACTGCTTTCAAGTCCTACAATATCTTCAAAGTTGTATTTTTAATAAAGTAGCTATGTAATGTTATGTTCAATTATATTATGCCTGATGATGTGGACAATTCTATTGAAAATAACAAGAGAAAGCATAGTAACTACTGTAGATAACCTAATATTGTGGCCCTATATGTCTTTTTCATTTCATGTTTTTCTAGGAATTTATTTTGTTGCTGGTTTTGATCTCTTTTTCCCTATAATACAGAAAGGATAGATATACATGTCTCACATGGGAAGAATTTCTAAACTATTTACGGGAACAGATTATATAATACATGATGTAATGAATGGATGCTCTGAAGAAGAAGAGACACTAAGAAACCCAGTGCTAATTCTGTAGCGTTATCATATGAAATCTAGCAATACTGTCATTCACTGTTCAGAGTGATATTAGTCTAGTGTCTTATGTTCAATTTCAGCATATGTAAAGATAAAGACAGCTACTTACAAAGAGACTGAGAAACATTATGGTAAACATTATTGATTTCCCCAAAATCAGGTCTTGAAGACCTAAAAAGCCTTCATTATCCAGTAATGATCTGCTACGGAGTAAGTTCTATAATGCCCAGTATATATTCAATGTGTGTGAAGATGGGGACAACTATTTGGAAGAAAACTAGAGACAATAAGATAGACAGTGAAGACCTCCAGTGGACTTGCTTTGAAATCTGTGTTTCTTTAAATTGTTTCCTTATAAACTATTTTGTTCTGTTTTGCTGTTTAATCTTACCCTCTTTAAGATAAAAAACAAGTGTGTATGACTGATAACCATATTACTGAGTTCTTGTTGGATCATTGAGCAGAACTGTTTGCAGTGTCATTGTTTGAATATCACTTTGTATGCTTTAATTTTGTAACTTGAGCAACTATTTCTAAGATGACGTTATGTAACTTATCAACTGGTGATTTCTTACTGTTTATTTTTCCGAAATTCTATATTGTTTCTACCCTTTTTATCTATTTTTTTTCTTTAAATAAAAAAAATAAGTGGGGATTTTTCAGTGGTGGCTGGATCTAGAGTATATAAGGCTAAAATTGATTCTGGAGTTGATTCATGAAGCAATGCTAGGAGTAACGATATAAGTGTTAACTGTCCTAAGTTGTCTGGATAAAATAAAAGAAGATGCTGTTAAGTGAAATCCGTGTTGCTTTTGCTATCTTCCACCTGCCATGAACTGTTACCCCTCTGCCAGGAGCTGCTCTGCCTTGGAGCCAGCCAATTATGGACTGAAATTTCTACAAGCTGTAAGCCAAATAAACCTTTCCTCCTTTAACTCTGGATGTTGGGTATTTTGTCTCAGCAATGAGAGAAAAGTAACTAACACATGTTTTATATGTAGAACCGCTGCCAACCCTGACCTCAGGACATGACAGATGGGGACCTTCAGAAACTGATTGGATTTGAAAGACACTACAGCTGACATCTGTGAAGAGGGTGGGCTGGTCAGAAGATGCAGGTCACTGTGGGATTGACCTGGAAGACCATGCACCCTTCCTGGCTCTTCCCGTGGCGCTCTCTGCTTCCTGTCCACCATGCTGGGTGCAGCTTTTTTGTAGCGTGGCCATGTGCCATACTGTCCTGCTTAGAGCCAGTGCATGATGGACAGAAACCCCTACAAGCTGTGAGTCAAAATAAATCTCTCCTCTTCTAATTTATGATTAGTGGGTATTTTGTCTTAACAACAAGAGAAACAACTAAGATAGTCTTTCTTCAGAGAGTCTGTGCTCTGATGTGAGTCCCAAAATTATTTTTTTAATACATCTTTTTTGAGACAGGGTTTTGTTCTGCAGTTCAGGCTGCCTTTGAACTTACTCTGTAGCTGAGGCTGGCATCAAACTTGTGGCAGTACACCTGCCTCAGCCTCCTGAGTGCTGGGATTATAGGCAAGTCCACCATGCCCAGCCCAGAGTTGTTGATGAAGCACAGAGAGACTTAAATGAAGACGGGTTTGTGCTGCCTTCTACAAAGAGTGGACTTGTTTGAAATCTACACATGGTGTCTTATCAGAACAGAGATCAACCACATTTTGTGGAAAGGCTAAATCACATGATGACCATAAACTTTGTCCTGGATTATGAATTCTGTGGCAAGCAACAGCCTGGTTGGAGTTCACCAAATAATACAAAGGAAAAATGTTTGGAAAGAAGTCTATGAAATGTACGAAGATCTTGGTCAGTTTTATTCTCTGTCATTTGTTCTGTGTTGCATCATCTGTCACCTGTGACAAACAGCTGAAGGTTTATTTCTTTGACAATCTACAGCAAGGAGCACAAGTCTGAAGCTGGCAGATGTGGGAAACCTGGAAGAAAGAAATGCACTGACAGCCAAATAAACTGACAGAGAGTGAGATAAATTCTGAACTCACAGCCAACGTATATATTTTATCTTGACCACCCCAAGGATGCCATTTTTTGAATTTGAAAAACTCAAGGATGAAGAAATTGAAATATGCATGTGTTCACAAGAGGTAGCTCCTTACACACCCCGGGCCACCACTGCTGATAGCTCCCTAGTTAAAGGACGAACATCCCAGTTTCCCATCTTTTACTAATGTAATGTTGCCATAAATGATAATAGGTGCAAGTCATTCTAGTGTAGAATCAATGCTGAAGCAGTAGTGTAAATATGTATTTGTTGAGAGCTGGACATGGTAGTGCACACCTTTAATTCCAGCCTCAGGAGACAGGCAGACTGCTCCCAGCAAGCCCAATGCCAGCATGAGCTACACAGTGAGTTCAAGGCCAGTCTGAACTACAAGTAAGAACCAGCCTCAAAATATCCAAAACAAATAAGTAGGTAAGTAGCTATCTTTGTTGAAAGAATAGTAAGAGTTAATCTATGTGAAAACTCTTGTAAATTTCCAAGGGTTAAATATTAAATCATTGGATAGGTGAGCTGCAAATTATGTTTCATAATTACCCATTTAGTGTATGTAGTTCTGCTTTAGAAAGTGTTTTTACTGTCCTGTATCCCAGATAAATGTAACATTAACCTATATCATTTTTAATATTTGCAAATCACATATCCGAGAAAGGGTTAACATCCAAAATATATAAGGAAGACATACCAAAAAAATCAATTTTAAAAATGAGTGAGGATGGGGCTGGGGATTTAGCTCAGTGACATAAGCGCCTGCTTTGCAAGCATGTGGTCGTGAGTTCGATCCCTGGTACCGGTAAAAATACAAAAAAAAAGAGCAAAGACTGTGAATAGCCCTTTTTAAAAAGATATGCGAATAGTCAAAAGATATATAAAAAGACACTCATGATCACTAATCATCAGGGAAATGCAAACCAAAATAGCAGTAACATATTACTGTACACCTCTCAGGATAAATAACAGCTATCAAAAAATAAGATAAATGTTGATGAGGGTGTGGAGAAAAGGGAATTTTCATACACTCCTGGTGGGGATGTAAGATGGTCTGATCACTAAAGAAAACTTACAGGCTTTCCTCAATAAATTGAAAACAGAATGACCTTTTGGCTGTGGGTGGCTGAGCGTGTCTTCTGGATGTGCAGAGGTGCCTTGGTTTATGAACGCAACTGTTTCCACGATTCTGATCACAAACCAACATGGACAAGAACCGAATCCCATTTCTCCATAAGGTCAACATTGAACCTAACCGTTGAATTTGATTTGGTTCCTGTGCAACTGGATTTGCAACAGAATCATGGGAACAGTCAACTTTGGGGAGCTAGGAACTACTGTATATCTGAAGAAAATACAGTTGGTATCTAGAACAGTTACTCGCATTCCTGTGGTTATTGCAGCACCATACTCAATAGAAGCAACCTCAATAGACATAGAGGCAACCTTGCTGTACATTAACAGGTGAATGGACAAAGAAATTGTGGTATATCTCCTTATACAATGGAATAAAAAGAAGGAAATTGTGTCATCCATGACAGTACAGGTGAACCTAGAGAACAGTGTGCACACTGATAGCAGCCAGATGCTAAAAGACGACTACTGTATGATACCACCTATGAGAGGTGATCGAAATATACAGTGATTATTCATATGTTAAAAATGGAAAAGACATTGCCATTAATTCTCCTCAGAATAGTTCTGCCTGCTTTGAAAACATTATCCCATCATCCTTGAGACTTTCTGGAGCGGCTCTGGAAGTCCTCTTTTGTGAATGTCTTTTACAAGGTGTGGTCAGAGAGCTTAGTGAGTGGTGCTGCTGGGTACCGGGCAGCAGAGACAGCCTTGTAAACATGTGCGGTGTCCGCATCCACTTTACTCACAAACCTGGGCCCATGCAACTCCTTCCCAAGTCAAAATGACGAGAAAGGTAAAAATTTCGAATGAATTCAGGACATTGAGACTGCCAAACAGTGCAACTAAACACACTGATATCTAAAAAAAGGGGGCAATCATAGAGAAAATTCACAAGAAAAGAAGCAGAAATTTTAACACATTTAAAATATAAAATCATAAATAAATACATATATGTTAAGTGTTCAAAAATTTTTTCTAACCCCTCTAGTTTCCTAGGACATTTTAGTTTTTGTTTGTTTTTGTTACTCTTAAAGTCTTAGAATCAATATTTGTTTAATCAGGTTCACCTAAACAAAACATGAATTTAATTTTTGCTTACGTAACACATTCAAATGGCTTAAGACTCAGAAAGTACAAAGAATATATAGTAAAATCCCTCTAATCCATCCTTACTCACAACTTCCCAGTTCCCATATCCTTGTACTAAGATCACCATCTTACTGGGGATGGTGCACACCTATAAACTCAGCACTCAGGAGGCTGAGGCAGGGGGATTGCTTCGAATTCAAGGTCATTTGGGGTTACAAAGCAAGACCCTGTCTAAAGGAGAAGAAAAAGCCAGTTTCAAGTATATTCTTCTTGAGCTCTTAAATATAAAACAACTATGTAATGGATTCTTTTGTCTTCATCTATTTTATCCAAGTAGTAAGACACTGTACCCACTCTTTTATACTCTATTTTTCCTTTGGTGATCGTGAAATGCTTAATGTTTGCCATTATTCCCTTTTCCTTTGGGGTAGATGGAGTATACTGAGAAATCCATGTTCACAGCTTATGCACAGTTAAGCTTGCGAGCTGCCTGGCGGGCCATGAAGCGCACTCTGGGGACATCTGAGTGGGTCACAGAGGCTCACACTGGGGCTCTCTCTGACGCCTGGCCCTTCCTGTCTGGTGCTCTCCTGTGGTTTTGCACCACAGCAACATGGTATGAGCAGGTTTGCTGCCACCACACCTTCCTGCCATGACCTTTTTGCCATGGGCGGCTGAGCATGGATGGAAAACTTTTTTGTGTTTGTTTTTTTGTTTTTTAGGGCAGGGTCTTGCTTAGTAGGTACGGACTGGCCTTGAACTCCCGCTGTAGATCAGGCTGGTCTCAAACCTGAGGAATCATCCTCTCTCAGCCTCCCAAATGCTGGGATGACAACTCTTCCTTCTCTAAATTGGGTCTATCCAGTATCTGGTGCTAGCAATGAAAAGTTAATTCTGTATGAGTCAAAAATGTCTGACTCATACAGAAATACATTCTGAATCATAACTCGAGTAAGTTTCCTTCCTAATAAATATTGAAGTTATTCCAGTTTGCATAATTTCAGGCAATTCTACAGTAAATAATTTTGTCATGTACTATCTCATGTCTTTTGTATGGACGTGTGTCTTTGTGTATATACACACACATGTGTACAGCACTATCATTTTAAAAGCCCCTCAAGTGTTGGGATATAGCTCAACAGCATAAGTGCCTGCCTAGCAAGTGCAAGGTCCTGAGTTCAATTCCCAGCACCAAAAAAACAAAAAAAAAGCCCCTCAAAATCACTTGTTTTGAAAGTTACTGCTTACGTAGATTTATCGCCTGTTTGCTATTATTGATTCCCTTGTTGTATACCTTCTTGCTGAAGCATATATTTTAAGGTTGTTTTAATCTCGAAAATGTCTTTAGTCACCATCATTCATTAATCCTAGTCCTGTTAGGTAAAAAGATTCTAAACTGTTTATTTTCCGTCAGCACTTCGATGTTACTGTGGAATTTTATTCTGAGCTTTTTCTTACCAAAAGTGCACTGCTAATCCCTTTTATTTCTGATTACTATATATATATATATTTTTTTGAGTATGAGGGACCAAACCTAGAGACTCACGTGTGATAACCAAGCACTCAATCACTGAACTGCATCCCCAGCCCTCTTCATTTCTTAGCTAGTTTGTTTGTTGAGACAGAGTCTTGCTACACAGCTTAGGCATGCCTGCCTCAAAGGCACCCACTACGGAC